TAGAATGCCGGTCCGCGGCTCAGTCAAAGCGCCAAAGTTTGATGGCGCCACAGAGAACCTCCTCGCCTTCATCGAGGATTATGAAGCATGCGCCGATGATGCAAACCTAATAGGGAACAACCACATCAAAGGTATCATCCGCTACTTGCCAAATAGCGAGTGCGCGCTTTGGGCCGGTATGCCCGAAGCAAAGCTAAGCGACTATGACACATTCATTAAAGAGGTAATGGAAATGTACCCCAGGTGCGAAGGCGAAAAGCGATACGCAGTATCTGACCTCCAAGCAGTAACGCACAAATATGCGAGGTTGCCTATGTCTTCGCTCACGGAGCTCGGCAATTATTGTCGCGCCTTCCGAGAAATTGCTGACTCGCTGATCACAAAAGATCACATAGGGACGTCCGAGAGGAATCGCATGTGGTTACAAGGTTTTCCCAGCGACATCCAAGCGCTTATTTGCATGCGCTTAATGATCAAGTTCCGGATCATCACCCGCGCGACCCTTATCCCTTCGCAGATGTAGACAGGCCGCCAAATTCTTGATTCCAGGAATGGGAGCATCGGCCCCAGAAACCGTTGGTACGCCGGTATTAACGCCTGTACCCGAGCGCTTCTGCGACAATGGCTCGAGCGCCGCAGCAACCGGCGCAAGGTACAGTTGTAAAACAGGAGTATCAAGCGAGACGTCCTGGCAATTCACCACCGCATGGTTGCATGTTCTGCAGAAAGAACGACCATTTCTTGAGCCGCTGCCAGGAAAAGGACGCATATATCAGCGCCGGCAAGTGTAAGGTACACGAGACTTCTATGAAGCTCATATTGACAAGCGGAGATTGGATCCACGGTCGCGCAAGCGATGGTACCTTGAAAGATCGCCTCAACAGATACCATACTAACAAGCAGGCGAACGAGGCGCTCCCTAGCGCCAGTGTAACCACGGTGCTATATGTCCGTGCATCATCCGAAGTCGACGTCGTACTAGACGTCGACCCATCCACATTTATTCACACCATTGCGGATTCCAAATCTGACATAGACGAGGAGGAAGTAGACGTGTTACGCGCAGCACAAGCGCTTGCACTAGCAACCGCCAGATGCGATACCAAGCGAGGTACTGCAAAAGGCGAAGGTAAGAGAAAGAACGTCCAGTTTGATGGCATAGAACTCGTCAGCGAGTATCACGCAAAACCAGCGCCCGCATCTAGGCAAGCTGCCGAAACAGAGGAGATCGTCTCTCCTGCCATTCAAGCTTCGTCGAGCAAGGGCAAGGCGCCAGAAGTCATGAAGGCAATAACCGCGCCCACGACAACTGCGCCCCAGACAAAGGATGCGGAGAAAGCAACTGCCGCTCCTGCAACTTCATCTTCATCCTCACCCGGTTTAACACATACTGACCCCGCAGACTCAACACCCTCGTCATCAGCACCTTCGGCATCAAAAACGGCATCATATCGATACTCGCATGGACTGGAAGACAAAGACGCCGACAAGTGCATCCTTGAGCACCTCCTGGATAGCAGCATCAGCATTTCGACAAGGGAATTATTTGCAATACCGCCCGATGTCCGCAAACAATTCCATGATCTTACCACTACCAAGCGCATCATGGTCAGCACAGTATTGGTCAATGAGCTAATAGGACACCCAGTCTCAGATGAATGGATACACGACTACGACGCTAAGCGCTTGTGAAGCGATGACGGCCGAGTAGTCACAGACCATTTCGCACCATTGCGCTGCATCCGCGCGACCATGATCGGAGGGCGGGTAGTCACCTGCGTCCTAGATCAAGGTGCCGAGGTCGTCATAATGCCAGCCGCTGTATGGAAATCGCTCGGCGTGGGTCTGCAGTCAGGCCATCGCTTAAACATGGAATCAGTTAACACCAACAAGGACGCAACGTTAGGTGTTATCGAGAATGTACCGCTCGATTTCGGAGGAGGACCGCTGTACTTTCAAGTACAAGTCATACCCCACGCGAGCTTCGAGATCCCTCTCGGGCGCCCGTTTTTCAAACTAACAACATGTCACATGTTTGACCTCCCTGACAGGGAGCAGGACATTTTGGTTACAGATCCTAATATGTGCAAAGAACTGCGCATCCCGACGCTTACATGGGTAAAGCGCTGCAAGCACTGCACCAGTGGTCTCCCATGTCAGGAACACCCGTCGAAGGTCAAGGAAGAAAAGGGTTTTTAATCATCAATGATCTGCATTATCCATGGGGAGACAATACCCCGCATACATTCCAATACCAGTATTTTCCTTTGTCTTGTCTCAATCATTCTCGCATGCTTCCTGAAGTGCCGCAAAGTGTGTGCGCTTCAAGCGCCCAATTATCGCTCTTAAGGAGCATCCCCACATCATTTTCTGCATTCGCACAAAGTACCGTTTCTTCCGTTTCTCATATCGCATCGCAACCATCGGCGCATTATGCGCATTTATCGTCAACCCGTTCCGTTATCGATCAGGTGTCTATAAACACTTTTAATTCTTATTATTATTATGATCGCATGCTTCACGCACTGGTGTATAAACCAGTCGCGAAGAAAGTGCGCACGGTGCCTACCACTATGCCGCCAGAGTATAGGATAGTGCGCCAGTTACCCGAAAACCCGCTCGCCGGGTTACCAGACTTACCGACTCACCCCCCAGAATTTGAACCAGGAACCCGCTTCATGCGCGAACATGCTGAAAAGTTAGATTTAGATCCAGCCAATTGGCTATGGCCCGAAGAGCTCAAGCTAGTACACTGGCTCATTAGGGTTCACAAACTCACGTTCGCTTGGGCCGCCTCAATGAAACATATTTTCCACTGTACAAGATCCCGACAGTACTGCACACCCCATGGTCACAGCACAATATTCCGATCCCACCTGCAATAACCGGTGAAGTTGTTCGCATTATCAAGGAAAAGATTTCATCCAGCATATATGAGCTGTCGACAGCCGCCTATCGTTCGCGCTGGTTCTGTGTCATCAAGAAGGACGGCCATTCCTTGTGCTTAGTCCACGACCTACAACCGCTCAACGATGTCACTATTTGCGACACATCGGTTCCGCCCTTTCCCGACTTTTTAGCGGAAATGTTCGCCGGATACGTGGTGTATGCTATGTTGGATTTGTATGCCGGTTAAGATCAGCGCGTGCTTCACGTTGATTCGCGCGATATGACTATGTTCAGAATGCCCCTAGGGCCGCATCGTTTAACGATGCTTCCGCAAGGACACGCTAACGCTGTACAGGTTTACCAAGGCGACACCGCATTCATATTACAGCATGAAATCCCGGAATTCACGTCGCCGTTCATAGACGATGTGCCGATCAAATCAGTAAAAACCCGATACCAGAACAAGGATGGCTCTTACGAGACCATACCGGATAATCCAGGCATACAGCACTTTATATGGGAACACTGCATTGTCGTCAATCGCATCTTGCAGCGCTTAGAAAACGTAGGCGCAATGGTATCCGCAACCAAGTTCGTGCTAGCCGCACCATCCGTGACCATCGTCGGTCACAAGTGTACTTTTGAAGGGCGCATGCCCGATGAATTTAAGGTACAAAAAATTAGGGATTGGCCTGAGCCGAGAAACCAGTTGCATGTGCGCGGGTTCCTAGGCACATGCAGCGTTTTGCACATTTTCATTCGTAACTTCTCGCGCATCACGCGCCCGCTAATCAATTTGACCAAGAAAGATGTTCCATTCGAGTTCGGCGAAGAACAGCGTCAAGCGATGCAAACACTCAAGGATTCAGTACTAGATTCTCCCATGCTTCGGCGGATAGACTACGAAAGCAGCCGCGAAGTCATCCTAGCGGTAGACACATCGTGCATCGCAATCGGATATATTCTGCTGCAAGTAGGCGAAGACGGAAAGCGCTACCCCAATCGCTTCAGATCAATCGCGCTCAATGAAGTGGAGAGCCGCTACTCACAAGTGAAACTCGAGCTCTACAGCCTGTATTGCGCGCTACGCGCCATATGCGTCTACATATTTGGCATCGTCAATTTGACGGTCGAAGTGGACGCGAAGTATATCAAAGGTATGATCAATAATCCCGATTTGCAACCCAATGCGACCATCAATCGATGGATCGCGGGTATTCTTCTATTCCAATTCAATCTGGTTCACGTACCCGCCGCAAAGCATGCAGGCGTTGATGGTCTCTCAAAGAGACCGCGCGTAGATGAGGATCCAGAGGAAGCCGATGATCACGAGGATTGGATTGACCGCGTGTACTCATTTGGAGTTGCAATCCTAAACGAAAGGACACTCCAAGTAGAGGCAGCTGGTGCCAAATATGCTCTTTCCACGCACTTAGTGCTGTTCACGCAGCCGCCGAGGCGCTTACCAGTCTTATGCACTTTTCTTGATGTTGCAGAACCGATACCAGATGATCCGCAAGTCCCGCACTCTGAGAAAGCACAAGCGATAGATGAGCGTATGACCATAATAGAGCAATTCCTTCTCAACCACAAAAGACCCACTGACATTACAAATGATACATTCGCCACGTTCGTCAATCACGTGGCGCGCTTCTTCGTTCTCGAAGGCAATCTTTGGCGCTGCGAAGCGAACGGTAAACACCAGCTCGTGGTGAAACCGCATAAGCAATCTAAGAAGTAAAGTACGACGGTTTTCGGAAACGCACGGGCGCTCGCGTGGCTTTCATGTATTTCGCGTATTTCGCTAAAGGCCACATGGGAGCGCTTAGCTCGCTTAGACCTCTTTTTGGCAACTCGCGTGGTTTTCATTTATGTTGCGAGCGGCGACTCGAATAACGTCGCCCATTGGGAACTTAGCACGACGTTGGTAACTGTATATGTACATGGCATTAAATAACAATAAAAGATGTGTTTGAGCAGGGAAGGCAGATATGAGTTTTTTCCCTACTGTAATTGTTATAGTAGTATCTGTATACACACAGCAAATAATGAAACAACATATAATACAATTACAGACAGAGGGAAAACAAATATATGGTGACAGGAGATGAATGACAGAAGGCTGTGAAAAATCAAAAATCAAAGGAGACAAAGACAATGTGGACTCAAAAGCTGGAGAATGGGAAGACAGGAAAGTGGGAGAACGGGAGAACGGGAGACAGAAGGACTGGAAAATGAGAAACTGGGAAACTGAGATGGGAGACGGGAGACGGGAGACGGGAGACGGGAGACGGGAGACGGGAGACGGGAGACGGGAGACGGGAGACGGGAGACGGGAGACGGGAGACGGGAGACGGGAGACGGGAGACGGGAGACGGGAGACGGGAGACGGGAGACGGGAGACGGGAGACGGGAGACGGGAGACGGGAGACGGGAGACGGGAGACGGGAGACGGGAGACGGGAGACGGGAGACGGGAGACGGGAGGATGTAGGAGACAATTGGGAGATGGGTAGGTGTCAGAAAAAAGTTAGGTACCATTGTAATACTGCTGGATTACAAGTTTGGCTTGGCACCTTAAGAGGGCCTTACAAGGCATTTTAACGGGCCATTCTGAGGCACAGCGAGGCAAAACTCAATGTAAGGTCATCAAAAGGGCCCTTATAAGTGCCTTTTAATGGGCATTAAAATATTATCTTACCTGTTTAAAAGCCCTTATAAGGACACCCTCCAAATAGAGCATTAAAATGTCTTGCAAGGCCTTAAAACCCTGGGAACTTTTTTCCGACAGGCAAAGATGGGAAAATAAATACATTCAATGATACTGTTATATATTTTGTAATTTTGTCAGAATCCTGCTCAAAGAATGTAGAACTGACTGATCTTACTATGTACTTTATGTGGTGGTAGATTGTATTTTTAGTTTTTTTGAACTGCTCATAAATGTATTTTCAAAATTATTCAAAATGCACAATTTATTAGGATGCAGCCTGAGGCCAGGAAGCCAAAGGAGGGTTCCTGTGACGAAGGAACAACACTCATTTTCCTCCCCTGAAGGAGCGCTACGCGCTTCTTCGATTTGTGCCAAAGGCACAACAGGCGTGAGCTTGTATCAATTGCTAAAACAAGCGCACAATGACCTAGGTCATAAGGGTGTATATGCCGTTCGCTCGCGGCTGCTGTTGCGCCTTTGGTGGCCGCACATTGATGACAATATCAAATGGTATATGCGCACATGCCATGAATGTCAAATCAGGCAGACACTAAAGCTCCAAGTACCACCGATGGTACCGACGCCTGGAGGCTTGTTTCGCAGAGTACACATCAATACGATGAAGATGCCCAGAGCAGGCGGATACGAGTATCTAGTACAGGTGCACTGCGCGCTCACGTCATATCCCGAATGGTGCATGTTACGCAAGGAGAATACCAAGTCGCTCATGGCCTTCATATACGAAGAGCTCCTATGCAGATGGGGTCCTATCACCAAGATCATTACTGACAATGCGCCCGCTTATAGACTCGCTGCGGACATGCTCGCGGAAAGATATGATATCCATCTGATCCGCATATCACCCTATAACTCGCAAGTGAACGGTATAGTAGAGCACCGGCACCGTGATGTCCGGGAGGCCATCATTAAAACTTGCGATGGAGATGATACTTATTGGTATCAAGTTGTTCATTCCGTATTTTGGGCTGAGCGCATCACCGTGCACAAGTCAACGGGCTTATTGCCTTATTTTATGGTGCACGGCGTTGAGCCGATCTTCCCCTTTGACCTCGCAGAAGCTACGTTCTTAGTGCCGACGCCAGCGCGCGCGCCATTTACCACTGCAGAACTCATTGCTTGGCACGCACAGCAGTTACAGAAGCACATAGAGGATCTCAGCGCCATCAGGGACAAGGTAATGAAGGCACGCTACGTGTCTATCTGCGATTTTGAGAAGTGCTTTCGCACGACGATCCGCGATTACAACCATGCACCCGGTACCTTAGTACTGGTGCGCAATTCAAAGGTTGAATACGAGTTGAGCAAGAAGACAAAGTTATGATACTTGGGACCTATGATTATAGTGCGCCGCACGAAAGGAGGCTCATATCTGCTGGCCAAGTTGGACGGCGCTATCTCTAAATTACGCTACGCAGCGTTCCGCATCATCCCTTATCATCCGCGCAGCGATGAGCGCATTATGGTGACAAGCGTCACTGGTAAAGACGACGAGACTCTTGATCATTCAGCCAACAAGGATATTGAAGAACCCGATGAAGACGAACCAGAGCGCACACCCGACGTGTAGGGCGCAAACACTTCCCGCATATCACCCGACATCCTAACCACATATTCCCGCTTTCCGCATCACATACAAAAACACAAACAAAATATAACAACAAAACAATCACAAAAACATACCGTCAATTTCCATTCTCTCCATTTGACCCCGGGTTTCAACTGGTGACCTCAGTTTCCTTTTATCATGTTTCATAACGCGCGCATTGCATTGAACATACATCCAGCAGACTCTATTCTATACTGCCGATCGGGCGATAATAAAACCGTCAAGTACATACTGAAGATAAGTTACCTAGAAGCACGCGCATGACTACCCCATAGACTTTCCATTTCTAACACGCGCAGCCGCGCCGCGCCCCTTTTACTCATAGACTATACACCGACACCATCTAATAACAGCGACACACAGGGACATGCGAAGGAATAGATGCAAAAGGACGCCCGAAGAAGACAAGACAAGTGCGCAACTTGCGTGACCGCCATATTTCCATACGACTCTATAATCCTACATGCAGTGACTCACAAACTTCTTCTTAATTAATCAGGCCGGCGAATCGATACGGACACTGGAAATGGATATGGACACAGACGGATGCAACAAACGAGATATTATTAGGCGCACAAGCGCCGTGCGGAACCAGGAGCAACTATAGTACAAGGCACTTTGGCACCGACAAGCAGTTCTAAACTAAAGAAAGTATCTAAGAAGGGACCAGCGGCTTTCTACTTCTCTAGCATCTCGCCCATCTCCTTCTCCCAAGAACCCCAGTCGCACGCAAAAGAATACAATCGGTTGCTCATGTGGAGCAATTCCAACTCTTGCATGCAAGTGTGCTGTCGCAAGTCGACGAGCATCTCCTGATACTTGGCAACCTCTGTCTCCAACTCGGCGTTTCAAAGCCGAAGCTGCACAGACTCAATCCACGCCTCCTCGAGTTGAGCCTCAAGGTCGAGGCGAGGGCGCTGTGGCGCAGGCCCAGAATGAGCAGCAGCCGGACGCTTGGCACGCTGCACCATGATAGTCTTACCAGTACCAGTGACGTCCTCATCGGCGGTAGTCTCGCTGACTATCTCCACCTCTGACTCGCCAGCATCAGGCACAGTGCCAGTGTCAGTGGTGACAGTCGGCACGGTCGATTTTGAAGGAGGCACAACCTTGTCCTTGGTCAGGACAGGCGCACGCTCTTTGTTCTTGGCCATGACTACTCAAAAGAATCAGCGACCCGATAAAGAAGAATGAAAGAAGAAAGTTACATACCAAAGGAACATCCCTTCCTGGCCTTGATGCAAGGGTTGCACCTTGTGTTCGAATCTTCAAGGACACATTTAGCGCCAGATGCGGCACACCGCATACACGCCTCCGCCGGTTGTGTGACTGAAGAAGCGGTCATGCGCCCGCCAAAACGCTAAAGAGCGCGTCAGTACGGCCGAAAAGAGTAGAAAAAGTAAGAAGCAAACTCACTGGTCGCCCCATATCAGTCACAACAGGAGAAGGTTCCTTCTCCTTCTTGGTCTCCTTCTCCTTCCCCTTCCCCTTCTCTGAAAATTTCTCTACCGCCTTCACCTTCTCAGCATGCGCCGTGCGCGCAGTCAAAGCCGACTCCTCCGCTTTCTCCTTCCATGCCTTGACGGCCTTCGCCAAAGTCTTGGCGGCAAGTTTGCCTTCGTTCAGCTCTATGGAATCCGCATCGCCGATCGAAAGGTGCAACTGCACGGCACACGCCTGTTCAAAGACGGAAGTCATATCAGCCTAGAACAAGAGCAATGAGATAAAAAGTAAGTGGAAAATGAGGAGAAACTTACCATAGCGGTATTCCAATCATGGAACCACGATTCTTGCTCCTCCAGGAGCTCCGGTTTTGGAGGAGGCAACGTCTTCACGCAAACGCGCATGGTAGTGAGCACCGCAGCCCAGGACTGTTCAATCCGATCAGCAACGGATTCCTGTGGCTCCTTCGGAGGCGCAGTGTCGAGAGTGGCGTCATCCAAAGATGTGTCGCCATTGTTCTGGACACACTCCTCAGGCTCAGGAGAGGGTGAGGGAGAAGCAGTAAGCATGGCAGGATCAAAAATAGCAGAGGACATGATAGCAGGTGATAAAAGATAATCGCGAAGATGCGATGGAGTATTGAATGAAAGAAGAGAAGCGCGATGCGTGGCCAGCTTTTATGCCGGAAATGAACCACATTATGTCAGCACAATTCCACCCGCTCACCACAATCCTCACGACCACAGTGGATCTGCTCCACATCCGATTTGGCATGTTTCGCCCATGATCACGTGACTTTCCTCGTCGAGAATTCGCTAAGTCCATCCACCCCTATGTACGCTGACTGGGGACAGTCAGAAGCTAAGTTCCTATGAGATGTAGAGACTAACATCTCTGTGGCCTCGTAGAGGTCTAATTCTCCAATGTCCCAATCACCTCCCAAACATAGCATGACCCGTATCTCATTTCTGCGCACTTGGCGCTTCGTCGGCTGCTCGTGATGTCATGCATGGTATGTGATTCATACCATGTCAGTTATATATAGAGAGTGCTAAGGAAGGTATGAGAGACTGTCTAGCCCTCTATCACTGAGTTACCTCTCTGTTTTTCCTTTGATTCATTGTCTTATATTTTATTTCTCACTTTTCAGACTTGTTTTACCTTGTATTTTTATGAACATGTGACCTTCTGTTTATTTCTCATTGTTTATTTTTATTTGGCCTCTTTCAGCCACAGATTTGTTTGTTAAAGTTTTGTGTCTCTCTATTTATTTCTGACTGTTTATTTTTATTTGGCTTCTTTCAGCCACCAGATTTGTTTGTCAGCACATCATGTGACTGGAAAATAATCTGATTTGTAACAACATTCACATGACTCATCATGTTTTGTCATGATTCATCATGCTTTGTAAATTCTTTGTAAGATTACACTGTATTTGTAATGTACTTAGTAATAAGCTGATTCATCACCTGGTTTGTAAGCCACATTCTTACCAATCCCATCTGATAAATCATGCTTAGTAAGGGGGTTCCTAAAAGGTATAAAAGGACCCCATTTTCTCCATGAAATAACAATCCTCCCACTTGACTCTTGTCTCAAACTGTGTGAGATCACTAAGACATAAAGTGCAGGCCAATATAAGTGCCTTGAGGTAACATCTAAGATATCATTATCTACTCTAAGTTATATACTACCTTACAGGGGTTTGACTATATAACTTTCATTATCGTTATTTTACTCTAGGTTATATATATACCTTACAGGGGTTGACTATATAACTACTGAACAGCTCTCATTCTAAGCTTTACATGTATATATAAGACTCTCTCTTTCAATGGAAAGTGAGACACAAATCTAAGGACAACAAAGTTGAAACAGACTTTCATAGGTTGAAACATGACCTACTAGGCTGAAACAAACCTAACAAATTATCCAGAACACAGAACATATTTGTTTGAGATTTCAGGAAGAGGACAACAAATTAAATCCTCCCAAGAACTCACCACGTTACCTCCCACGAAGTAGAAAAGTCGGAGACCGTGGACTTAAGGACTGGCAAGAAGTCTTCACCATGTATAATTGTGTTGTCATTATACACAACTTTCATATAAGACCCTTAAGTAACAAGACAGTGTGCACAGGCGTCTCAGTCACGCATCGGCGCATGCACCTTTGGTTCCATCGCTCATCCTCCGTTTATCCATTCCATGTCCGTTCGGTTCGTCGGTGCGTGTTCCTAATTTATTCTCATGTATTCTGACATATCTCCGGCGCTTGCGCACATATTCTGTATGTTTCGTCACGGACCCTTATTTTACATATCATCACGTACTCACTTCGCTTTCCGGCTCGCTTTAGTGCTTGACAGCGCTTAACACTACTTACAATATATATACTCATGCCTCGATGTATAATGATTATCTTCTTCTTCCCGCACAAAATGTTGGACTCTAAGTCTAAAATCTCTGTCATATCTGCCGACCGACACTAAGCGCCAGTTCTCATATTCTTTATATAAAAACATCATCTTACCTGTCTCCCAACTCACTTAAGAGTCGCTGCACTCCACCACCCGCACGCGTGCTTCGCTCACACTCAGCGTGCACCATTGTACTCGTCGCTCAGTAGCGCTTCATAGCACTTTCGCTCATCGTACTTCGCTCATCGTCGTGTGCCTCACCAGGCTTATCCAACAGCCCAGTTCAGTGTTTCCCTCCACTATTATATATAGAGGAACCTTCTCAGTAGCAATCCCCTTGGGCCGACATTAGATTTGCGCACAGAGGACCATCTGAGTATATTCATACTACCCACTACATAGCATTCTACATTCCTCACCTACACCGATTCCCAGCCTTTAAGCTAACTCTTACAGGTGCAGTTAAGGCTCTAAGTGGTAAAGGTGCATTTCTCGCTGCTCTCACTCTCTTGCTTTCTGATCTCAGTCATTCACTGCTCGCGCATTTGCTCATTGCTCTCAGTTGTTCGCTGCTTGTTCCAGGTGCGCATGTTTTTTTCTCATTTACTACTAATACCATCTTTAACCTTGCAGTGTGCTACTACCACCACTCATGCCCTACACTGCATCCTACCCTCCATCTTGTTTTTCCTGTCTCATCCCTCCTTCCACTCTTCTGGTGCTCTCCAGTGTCCTCTGCATATGTTTGAGCCATGTCAGCATTCGCTGACATGCACCAGGCGTGTGTGCTAAGCACTGGTGGCTGTTGGGATTGGGTGGGGGCGAGTACACCCACCACAGGTATGTACCCACATTCATACCTGTGGCAGGTATGGGTACGGGTTGACCTCGGGACACCTGCAGGTTTACCCGTGTGGATCCCTACTTGTGGAGGTCCATTGACAGCAAAGGTGGCGGCTGATCAAAGTACATCTTTGTCCTCAATGCCGAAGGATGATAAGTGGGAGAAATGGTGATAGGCAGTGTAAATTACAGTCAATTAGAGCAAATTTACCTGCAAATTAGCACAAATCAGTGTCAAAAAGCCATGGGTCAATTTGAGTCAATTAGGTGTAATTTACACCTGTAAATTAGGCCTTCATAGAGGGTCATGCAAATTTGCCAGTCAATTAGAGAGGGAACCCTAATTCCCCGAACCCTAGTTTTGGTTGGATGTTTCTAATGGTTCGTAAATTTAACTTTGAGAACCACTATGACATAAATCATGGGAGACATGGAACGAAATGTTTGATTTGAATCATATCTTTGGCAGAGGAAAACATCAGGGAATCTGTCCCTCCTGAAATTCCAATAAATCATGATAATTTTCAATAAATCTGGAGTATTATTTCACATTATTTCAAATTATTTCAAATTATGTTTTCTAGGAAGACTTTTTTACTCCCTTCTCCATGATTTATAATTATCAAAAATTAGTTAATATTAGACACAATTATTGTGAATTGCAGAAAGTTCATTTTGAACTTTGCATTGCAAATCACCCACAATGGTCAGACAATGTTACAAGAAAAAACAACTGATATTTGATTACATAGAATATATACACACAAAAGTAATTACTGTATAGCTACAATTGACCACAAATACTAAGAACAAGTGCGGACAAGCACATACAAGTGTGAACATGTGTGGATGAGCATGAGCTAATAAAGCTACATTAGTGAAATACATGAGTGGATTTATAGAAAAGATGTACTGTGACCCCTCGAAGGAGGATTGACACGCTGAGAATGGCAGACAATGACTTCAAACAGCATGGCTCGAGCTCGAAGAAGGATTGACACTCTCACCTGCTGTGAACAGCAGACAACGACTTCTATCAGTATGGCTCGAGCTCGGAGGAGGATCGACACACTCACCTGCTGCGAATGGCGGGCAACAACTTGGATCAGCATGGCTCTTACTGGAATAAGGACTGACACTCACATCCTGCGAATGACAGGCAACAACTTGGATCAACATGGCTGTTGCTCAAATGATGATCAACACACTCACCCGCTGCAAACAGCGGGCAATGACTTGGATCAGTGTGGCTCTTGCTGGAATGAGGACCAATACACTCACATCCTGTGAATGATGGGCAACGACTTGGATCAGTGTGGCTCTTGCTGGAACAAGGACTGACACACTCACATCCTGCGAACAACCGGCAATGGCTTGGATCAGTGTGGCTCTTGCTGGAACGAGGACCAACACACTCACATCCTGCAGACAGTGGGCAATGATTTGGATCAGCATGGCTCTTGCTTGAACAAAATGATCAACACACTCACATCCTGCGAACGGTGGGCATGAATGGCAAAGTTGATATGAGCTCAATACCTAGTTGTAGTTATAAATGTTAAATAGAACTTTTTAAAAAAAACCCTAAGACATACCTATCAGCTTGATGGTTGAGGCTGACAATGTTGAGGAATGTGGGATCGACATCAGAAGTTCAAAAGTTTTCAAACCAAAGTTATGTGAGTCAAACAAATACACGCAAATGGTTTGATTTTGATATCAATCAATTTTTACAGTCACATGAGCAAAACAAATATGTGCAAATGATGAACTTCAACAAAATTTTAATGTTCTAGTCTCAGCTGAAATTTTTCCCATCTGCTCCTGAGTGAAATAGTGGACTTGATAAACTTTCAAGGTCACTGCGCAGTGGTAACACAGTGGCTAGTGATACATAGATAGATAGATTGTAGATAGACATACTTTTTCAACATTTAGATAATTCTTGCTAATTATTTGTTTTTGTTCAAATAATCACATCTAACTCGTTGTTTAACTCATTTGACCAAGTTGAATCAATTTGCGACACCAGTCAAATCTTATTCATGACTCAGCCTCTGTGGCTTACACATGAGGCCCCTCCATCAAAATGTATATACCTACTGATGAGCTAAGATTTCCCATCATCATTCTTGCTTTCACAAAGCACTATCTGCTCAACTGTGTTTTTAAGCTTATAAAAATAAATCCTTGATTTGATCATTCACACTCATGTCCAACAATGCCAGTGCATTGTCAAAAATGGCAGAAACTGCTGGATCATCTACAGCCACAGGACCAGCAACATCTGGGAATACATCTCAGACCAATGTTATCACAGCGCATACACCCCAACAAATCTTGGCAACAGCCTGTCTCGCCTAGATTGATGGCTACAGATGCTCACACATCAGCAAGCTTGATGCCAATGTTGGACTCATTGAGACCATTTCAGAAGAACTGTTACCCGGTCAACGGGTCTCAGCAGTTGCAGGACCGTATATTGCCATGCTCGATGAAGTCAAAGCAGAATTCACACAAGCCAGCGACATATCAGCAGGGAATCAAAGAGCGTGCTTGGATGAACCAGCGCTTGTTGACGAAGAAGCCCCTTTACTTGAGAATAGGAGCAGAGCAGGGACAGTCGAGCCAGGAGAACCTACTCGCAAAGGTTCAAAGCTCAACTACTCATCTATTGAGGCAGTGATTAAAAGCAGGAAGTATGAACTGCTCTCTCCTAACCTTGAACAAACAAATGAAATACTCAAAAACTGGTTGCAAGACCAAAAGGAAGTACACCAATACCTCATGTATCACAAATTCACACCAGAGTTCCACAAAAGTGGATGGACTGAGATCGTTGCAGGTGAGTGTATCAACCTTGATGTTGTCCACTTAATGGATACTTCACCTTCATCTCCAAATACTTCTCGCAAGCAAACACATTGGCTCATGTAAGAGCCATTCATTTTGATAAAGCTGTTAGGAACAGGGTCGGATGCTCAAGGAGACTTGAGCTCACAGACTTCCATGAGTTCGAGGACCTTATTTTCTCGCATTTCAACTCCGATGGAAGACAACACACTGATCCCAACAACTCCAAACCCATCACCAGAACCTCAGCTCCCAATAACAAACATGACCCTTGCCGTAAATGGAATTCCAGAGAATGCACTCGCAGTGCAGGCTCCTGTTGCTATGCACATGTCTGTTCATATGAACAAGATGGACACTGCTGGAGGCAGTGCCACGTTAAAGCAAAACATCTTGAGGATTCAAAGTCCAGGTCAAATTGAGAGACCTTTGAAGCATCCATATCACCGTCATGGCCTCATTTCCTTGAACACCAGTTTTAGTCCAACCACTGACATGCTGTAGGGATTCATTTCTGGCTAGGCTTGTAGAGACTGTCTTTACCTTACCTTATGTTGGCACTTTGTAGCTTACATAAGGAAGTTATCTTTTCACCAGTTACCAGTATGAGTCTGAGTCTTGAGCAGTTTTTATGACATTTCCTCTCCTCTGAGCCTTGAGCCTGGTCCAGAAACCCTTTAGGGTCGAATAGCAGCTAGGTTCTGCAAGACCCAACATTATTCAGACTCACCATCTGAATTGTTGTACCTTCAACGCACCAAACTTGTTTTGTGCATGGTCATGGCTACTTTTGAGCTGTGACGTTCTCTACTATACTTTATGAAATTACTAAGAATTTTCTATAACACATTATGATTTGATTTGAGTAATTTTCAGACATAACAAACCCATAATACTACATAATAATTCAATTAACACTTATCCAATTTAAAGATAAGTTCCAAACATACCACAACACATTATTCAGCATTCTCTCACAATCTTATGATTGTTTTTTTACAATTCTTCACATTTTTTCTGTATGTTCTGAAACATATTTACGGTAGCATTCCAACATTTCAACAGTTCATGTGTGATCAATGGCTTAGTCAGATGAAATGGATCAGTAAGATGAGATGGATTAGTCAGGAAACTGAAGGAAGAAAGTTAATAGATGGGAATATTTGAGAAGTGAACAAGTCATCATGGGACATTTCAACTATGACTCAGTGTGAGTCATTATGAGTCATTTTTCTGTCTGAGTCACTATGAGTCATCTTTAATATGACTCAGTATGAGTCAGGATGAGTCATATTTCCTTAATTAGATAGTTACACAGCCACATTTAGAGTAGCATATAAGGGGCCCAGTTTCCCCTCTGAATAATGACAATCTCTCCTTTGAAATAAGCTTCCTTTGAGAGGACAGACATCCCCCTTTTAGAGAGAGAGAGGAGGATTTGAGTATCTTCCTGAATTTCTCACCCTATATTTGTGTGAACATCTGAGTGAATATTAGTTTATTCCCTCCATTCTTTTGTCATCATTTCCCACAACATACTGATCTTCTGAGGCCTACTTTGAGACAATCCTTGAATTACACTAGCTGGTACACAGTTATCAGTTGTCTAGTTGTAGTTTTGTCACATTCTCTTTACAAACACAGGATACCTTTTCTGTTGGGAGAATTTATGTATTTTTAACGATTAGAAGGACGACAAATAGAACTAGCGCTTTATTCAACAATATTAAGAGCTTGGCTGCTTTAAGACTACATCAAGAGGGTGTACTCTGTTCTGATTCTGCATCATACTCATCGTGAGTGCCTGAGCAGCAGAGAAGTTAGTTTCAAAGCCACATATTTCGGTTGATTCAATTGTGTTAGAGGCTTAGTTTGATCTCCTCTAATTTTTGAGAATAGGGAGTGTTTTACAAGATATTACTCTGATTCATTGTGTACTGTTGTAATCCATATATTTATCTTCATATTGCACACCTTTGCAATCCTCTTCTAGTAGCATCGTAGTACTGCATCAAGCCAGTTATCAATTCGGCTACACCATTTACGATCTTTGTCTTTAGCGTCCTAAGTACTGGATCAAGCCAGTTAACGGATCATCGACCTTCAAGTACCTAAGCACTGCATCAAGCCAGTTAACAGTCACTGTCTCAACCCACCTAAAGTCATTAGAAGTTTGCTTAGATCGACACTGCTATTTGTGCCTCCTCCCATGAACAACCACATTAACAACTGTTGGTATTTGTCTGAACCATTGACCATGGAGGATAGTGAGAACTGGTGATTTTATTGCCAATCACATCCTAGTAAGACACCGCACGTTCAACTGAATATGCTGACCCTGTACCTGATGCTCCCAGTGGTCTTGCTGGGAGTGACTCGGAACATGCAGTCACAAGCCAATCAGACTTGTTCAAAATCATCTGCCCTATCAATGTTGACCATTTTCAGTAACTATGATCCAACCACCCAAATCAGCCTTTTGTTTTGTCCATGTGTCATGCCTTACAAGAAGGATTTTGGCCATGGGCTGGAGTACCTGACTATTCCTACCCATCCATTAATGACAACTCCATGCATACCTGTCACAAGTCTGAAGAATAACTGGCTTTTATAGAAATGCAGCTCAAGGAGATATGCTTAGGACAGGTCTCAGAAAGTTTCGGGCGAGACTTACTCCCCGGAATGTATAGTGTACCAATGCACACAGTTCCAAAGCCAAACTCGGACAAGCTGTGCCTTGTCGTTGATCACACAGCTGGTGATTATTCACTGAACTCTATGATTGATTTGGATGCCATCAAAAGCATGAAACTGGATGGTTTGCACTCACTTGGCGCATCACTCCTTCGTTTTCACAAGACACATCCTAAAGATGAACTTGTCATGTTCAAATCTGATGTCTCGCAAGCCTTTCATAGGCTACCTATGCATCTGCTGTGGCAGACTAAGCAGATTCTGACCATCAACGGGGAACAACATGTTGATCGGAATAATAACTTTGGAGGCCATGGATCTCCTTTATGTCCCTCATGTCCTGGATTGTGATACATCGAATCCTGATTGATGCACTAAAGACATACATGGATGATTCTTTCTCCTACGACCTTGCATCATGCCAGCTCTACTATGCTCCCTACGCCTGCTACTTTCCAGCAAAGCAAACATGTTTGCTTTGGCTATGGGACAACATCGGGTTACCCCATGAGTGTCCCAAACAAATATTCAGTTTGCTGCTGACTGTGATCGGGTTCGATGTGGACTCAAATGCAATGTCAGCTATGCTGCCCAAGGATAAGAAGAGAGAGTTAGTTGCGCACTTGCGTCGCTTTGCAGGAAAAGGGTTCAGATGGTTGCTCCGGGAATATCAACAGTTGGGAGGTTTGTGTGAGTGGAGTTCTAACATATTCCCTTTGCTCAAACCAGGACTGTCTGCCATATATGAGAAAATATGTGGCAAGACAGAACCCTTTGCACGTCTGCACGTCAATAAAAGCATCATTCATGAGCTTCTCTGGATGGCCGATCATGTGGATCACTCGCAGAGTTTGCTCTTGTACAAATCTCTGGACTTTAGCCTGGCTTCGGACGACATCATTGTGGCCTATACAGATGCATCTGGAGTAGGCTTGGGACTTTGGTTCCCTGATGAAGACTTTGCCTGCCAATGCTTATTGCCGGGTGACAGCCCCAAGGACACCATTTTCTTTGCAGAGGCTTTGGCAGTCTGTTCAGCCATTCACGCCATTGAGACTATGCCCAAAACACCACAATGCATGCTCATTTACATAGACAACACCAATGTGGTCTGCATGTTTAACTCCCTGCACGTGCATCCTCCATATAACTCAATCCTGATGTCAGCAACGGATGTGCTTCTGAAGCATGATGTGGATTTGTGGGTGGAACATGTCAGTGGTGTAGAAAACAATGTTGCTGATGCTTTGTCGTGTTTCCAGAATGAACGTGTATACAGATTCACACCAAACATGCAGATTTACAATTTTGAACCCCCTCAAAATGCACTGGGGGGAGCAGAAAAATGATGACACAGTCTGTAACATCAGTAAACCACAAATTTTCCCACAGACATGGGCTACTGGACAGTTTCCCACAGTACCTCACAGTGCGAACAGAGGCTCACAGACCTACATACGTGCACAGAGGCCTATTCACACAATTCCCAAACTTTGCCCAAAGCTAACAGACATTACATGCTTTCAAGTTACTAAGTACTACTACTAGTAGTATAGTCACCACGCAGAATGTTCAAATACTAATAGTAACGAGACAAAAAACACTTGAGACTTTACAACTAGTTTCTTGTGAAGTTACAATACAAACAGAGTTATAAACGTACTCGAATATATGTAAGACTACTAAGACAAAAATTGCACAACGCTGAGTCCAAATCTTGCATCATCAGTACATCAATTGAGCTGAATAGTAATGTTATGGTTGGGCCCCAAATGGATGGAAGAGCCTGTAGCTTGTATCGCATACTAGCACCTTAATACACTATGATACTGTTGGCGGACTTGCTGGTGTCATGTGCAGGCACATGATGAGAAAGACTGTGTTTTTTGAAGGTAATCCGCATACATCCCAATCCGAGGTCTGCCTTGTTGAGCTTCTGTGCAGAAATGTTGGACTTGAACTTCAACAGACTGGCCATCAGTTCACACTCGCGGACCACGCAATCAGTGAGCGACTGTTCAGCCCTGAAGAGGTCTCGTCTGGCCCTCACAAGCTCCATGACTAGGTTGGCTTCGAGTTTGTCGGCATCATTGATCGTCTACATAAATACAATGTATGATGTTATTAATATAATTTTGAAATGGGAGCACTTACTATTGTGCCAATACCGTCAGCAATGTCATACAGATCTGGGAGACCGCAACCACCTGAATTTGAGGTAGTATGGTGATACAAACCATGACGCCGGTAGCGAGGGAATGTTTTAGTTGAGGTAGAGGGGATATTGTTTGTAAGATTAAGACTAACGAGTGGGTTTGACATTTGGTTACTCAGTTTCTTGTTGATCGAACATTGCCACTGTTGACTAGACTGTATAGCATTCAGTGAAATTCATGCCAACTTCTCAGAATTCGAAGATGTGCTAAGTATACATTGATTTCACGCGCTTCTAACTTAATGTCTCGAATCTCGATAGTATGTTTCAGTGTCCTTCATGTGGCAAAGGAGGATTCAAAGATGATATTGCTGTTGCCCGTCATATGAACCAACCCCGCTCGGGATGTAGCACATGGCTACAGGATATAATACAGCTTCAGACCGACTACTCTATGAACGTCGACGACCCACACATGCCGCACGACTCTGACTCGGAGTCACATCAAGACTACTATCACAATCAACCTGAGGGCCTCAGAGTTGCCAATTCAGACGAAGGCATTTTTACTGGTCACATCAATGAGGCAGGCACGCTACCGACCACCGACTTGTTTCCCAATGCCTCTCAGACATATGGCAAGGGTCATACATTTCTTGATTTATTTCACTCCGATGAAAATAGTGTATATCGCACAAAGAATCTTTACTACCTGTTCAGTGGTCAGAAGGAGTGGGAAGTTGTGTCATGGCTATTGCATTCGAGATTGAGCATGGGGAAGATTAATAGTTTTTTGTCACTCGAGATGGTCAGTGCTCAATCATTTTCATTGGTGAAGTCTGACAGAGTGCCCGTTTAGATTAAGGATCTTTCATTATTGTTCTCTTCTGCTAAAAAGCTATGAGGTAGGGCTGAAATGTTGCCCAGCGGTCCGTGCTGGATGTCTCAAGTAATTCCTACGGCTCATCCCACAAAATCACCTGTCGTATTATACTGGTGTGACCCCTTGGACTGTATCTCAAGCATACTCAAGCATCCTACATTTCACAGAGAGTTAGACTTTATGCCTCGCAGGGTGTATACCACTGCACAGCAGCTGTATTGTGTGTACTCCGAGTGGATGACAGCCGATGATGCCTGGAAGATGCAGGTGCGTAGTCTCGTCGTTCAAGCCGCTCTAAGTACTTATTGCTTCCAACAGTCGAATCTACAAAGTGGTGCGACCCTGCTAGGCACTATTTTGTCATTGGACAAGACCAATATATCTATGATGACAGGTGACAGAGTTGCCCACCCGCTCCTCATCAGCCTCGCAAACATACGCATGTCTACTCGACTCAAGGCATTGTCGGGTGCTTTCTTGCTCACTGCCCTACTCCCCATGCCCAAATTCACTCATAAGAAGAAACACTTGCGAGGTGTGCTGGAGGATCATCTAATTCATCAATGCTTGGATATTGTTCTGGCGCCTCGTAAGCAGGCTGCTCACGAGGGGGTAATGCTATCAGATCCAGTTGGGCATAGTCGTTATTGTTTCACCCCACTTGCGAGTTATGTCATTGATACCCTGGAGGCCATGATGCTTGCCACTGTTGGTGGGAAAACATCTCCAGTCACCATGGCCTCATACAAGCAATTTGGAGATAATTTCCTCCACAAACCTCGAACTTGGTCAACTACCCTTGTGCAACTAGCTGTTGTCCGGGAAAGGGTTGCCCCCAACAATATTGAAGTGTTCTTTCGTGAAGCACAGAAGTTTCGCTTGAATGGAGTCAATAAACCTTTCTGGTTGGATTGGGTCATGGCTGAACCATCGCATTTCCTCACTCTGGAAATTCTTCACCATCCTCACTGAGCGTTTTACGACCACGACGCCAAATGGATCATATGTGCAGTTGGGGAAGCGGAAATTGATTTCTGTTTCTCTGTATTGCAGCCTGTGATGGGCTTTTACCATTTCCATAGCGGGATCTCAAAGCTGAAGCAAGTTACAGGGCATGCTCAACGTGACATCCAATGCTCAATCATTGCGGCCGCTGCAGATGCAGTACCTAGCATCGTGATCACTGCCATACGAGCATTGATGGATTTCCATTATCTTGTACAGTTGACATGGATTGACGATTGTGATCTTCAGTGCATTTCGACAGTGTTGGTTGAATTTCATGCCAACACGCAGGCAATCTTAGACGCTGGGTTCCGTCGAGGCAAGAGTGGCAAAGTCATCGATAATTGGTACATCCCAAAATTAGAACTCATGCAGAGTATCACTCCCAGTATTCGCAATACTGGCGTTGCCATGCAGTGCACTGCAGACACTATGGAGCATGTTACAAGTAACATCGGTCACGTGGCCCCCCTATCATTTTCCCTTCATCCTCGCCCTCACCATCTACCGGCTCGTCCTCCTTTACCGCCTTTCTGTTGATCGGATCCTCGGGACCATTCCCATCCCTCGCATCGCCCGCCTCTATGCACATGCACGCACGTTCCTCCTTTGATTCGACCACCAATGTGGTCCCGCACCTATGACTCGGTCTGACTCATGCCACCAATGTGGCTTTCCTCTTTCTGTTTCCCCTGACTGCGGATTCCCGCACGTTGTATTCTTACCGTTGGTCCGTTCCAACGTTTCTCGGTCTCATTCCACATTCGACCATCCACCACTAATCCGGCTCTGATGCCAGCGCACCTATACCATTCTCGCTTCCCCTTTACCCTTACCTACTGTGCGGTAGCCTTGCCCTTAACCCTCTCCACTTAGTATAAGTAGTCGGTCACACTGTACTAGATTCCCTAACTTGAATCTACTCAATCTTCCCTGGAACATACTTCCCTCTGAAGCCCCCTCAGCTTCAGTCTCTAGTATCTTTTCTTAGCCGCTCACCGCGACTAAGTCTACCTTGATCAACCTCATCGTTCGGACAAGACTGTCCTTACTTTGAGTGACTTCTCACGACATCCGTCTACGAAGTCACGTGACATGCGCGTACTGTGATCGCTGCTGACTCGTCGTCGCCAGTCTCACTTGCCATACCGGATCCTTCCGGTTACGTCACGAACGTTAGCGGACGACGCCCCTCTTAGGGCTCCGCCTAACAGATCTATTTGAGTGCGTAACAGAGCATGCGCATGTCACTGAGATCAAGGACCCCGCACGAGCCAGTAACAACAACAACTACGATGCGCAGATTTGTCGCCACCTTGACTGTGCTGACAAGTGCCATCATTTTGAGCTCGCTGTGAATCTACTAGACTTGTCGAACCAACACACATACCTAGATGAAGATGACGACGATATCAATATTGACGTCGATGATGATCGTGACATCCTGGCAACAGTCAATCACCTCGGTTATTCATGGCCAATTACTGACTACTTCACAATCGCACAGACCCTTCTGCACAAGGAGGTGGGGACAATCCCTCAGCCATTACGCACTTTCATTGTTGTACAGTGTATAGCCGTTCATCTTGCCTATGACCCATCAATCAGAGCCCTCTCCATCGATGACACTGCTCTCAAATTTAACCTTCCCGACTTACAACCAGCTCTTGCTGACTTCCTTCGTCGCGAAGATACCTACGGAAATGATCACATTCACACAATTGGTGGGGCTAGGAGAGCCGGGCCCGATGCTTCGCTTCCTTTTGATAAAATGCAAATTTGGTTCAAAGTTCGGCTCCAGGACATGGACATTCACAACGCCAGCATTGTGCGGCCTGCACAGACCCTGAACTGTGCACCTCTGGACCTCTGGCCGGTACAACACAGTCATTGTCAATCATGAGGAGGGGTACTCATGGCCTGCTGATGGTCTTCACGGTGAGTCATTATGTCTTGCTGTCATGCTGAACCTTATCTCATTGAATATCTAGGTCATAGCATTGCCCAAATCAGGCTTATTATGTGTCCAATTGGAAAGAGAGGTGCAGAATGGTTGTGGAAGGATCGCTTCCTCACTTATGTGCAATGATTTGACATTGGTGGATCGTGAACCAGCTATGAGGTTACATTTGCTCAAGAGGGCAAAACGGTCGAACGGGACTCGGATTGGTGATATCATTCCAGTCACTCAGTTCAGGGCGCCCGTTAATATTGTCCCTCACTTTGGTGCAAGTGCAGACAATCATCTCACCCCATATAACAGCACCAAACACTCATCAAAATTCTGGCTCAATAGGTACTGGGACAAAAACACATTTTCCCTCTTTCGATGTAGCACAATAGGCCCAATGTTCTGTTCTATGCCTTTTATGCACTTTTCTTTCTACTTTTGTATCAGTCTAGGATATCTTTAGTTGCTATGTGGCGGTGATAAGCCCTCTGCTGTCTCACTTTTCCTCTTGCTGAAGCACTGAGTGCCTACCTGTCAATATGGCATACTTTTATAGAATGGTTGGTGACGGAATCAAACTAGCATCACTGATATTGCTCCCCGAACTCAATGACGTCCCTACTATGAACAAATTGACCTCCGTTGAACTTGATCGATCAGTTACAACCGAACCTCAACCTGAGGAGGACTCGCTAGGCTACCTACTCCCCCTCATTTTTAAACCTTTCACAGTCCCTATTCCATTAGTAGCCAAACTCACAATCAAACTCAGTAAAATCATATATCGCAACAAACACATTAACAACACATTTCGCCTAAACAGCCCAGATAATATGGTGCCATTGTATGATACCAATGCAGGGCTTTGGAACTGGGGGCTTCCGCTATCGTATCCTAACGGTGGTGGTGTAGCAGAAGACTGCATCCCTTTGCCAGGTGTTGAGAAAAGCACCCACGAAGAAATATTTGCTACATTCATCAATGCTTTTGCTACCTCCATGGCTGAATCACAGCTGAAACTGCTCACACCATCTGCAACTCGAATATGGAGTGCAGCTCATTCAACGACTCCCGTGGAAGGCACCGAAATCAGGTGCAAACCGGATCTCGTCTTGTCTGACGATATAAAGCCGAAGTGGGGCAACATCAGGGTCTGTGCTGAGTTGACAGTCAGCAGCTACAAGCCTGCACAGCGGCTTGTGAGAGCTGCAGACACTCAAGCATATCTATTGCTGAGCAATCAGCCCTGGAGATGCTTCACACTCATTTTATCCTTCACCAGTGGCTATAATGACCTCAGAGTCTTATTGTATGACCATTCCGGTGGCATCGTGTCTCCCTACTGTAACATCAACCACCAGCCTAACATATTTGCCCAAATCATTGCTACTGTCATCTTTGGTAGTCCAGAATGTATCGGGTATGATGCCACAATTACTTTCTGGAAAAATGTTCCGCTTCCTCCACCCCCGGGTGCACATATGCCTGGCTGCCATCCATTCAAAAACCTTCCTGCTCGAGCCAATACTACTTGTGACATGTCGATCACACCATCTCTTGATGTGTTCCCTGAGGATCTCCAGGAAGGACCCTCTAGTGGCGCCCTCAAGCACAAACCAATGCCTCTTCGCGACTCTTCTCACAACTCGAGAGAAGAATATTCCATCTCTCCCTCCCCTTCCTCCCCTTCCTCCCCTTCCTCCCCTTCCTCCCCTTTCTCCCCATCCCCCCATCTTCCACTTCCACTTCCACCCCTTGAAGCCACTAGCGCTTCCTTGTTGAACCTCGTGTCTCGAGCTCCTGTGGGGGGAGATGATTCTAGTTTTAGCGCTACACCTCATCCTTCCCAGTATCCCCATACCCCTCAATCGCCTGCGGAACCCTGTGGCAAGATCTGCATCAACAATAAGATATACACCATCCAGAAGATTCTTTTTACAACAAAGGGCCTTGTTGGTCATGGGACCGTTTGTTATCTTGTCAGTTTGGACAAGCGAGAGTTTATAATCAAAGATCACTGGGTTCAGGGCGACCAGGACAAGGTCATGAACGAGATCAAGATGTTAGAGGTAATGCACGGTGTTCCTGGTGTTCCAAAACTCGTGGATTACTGGATAGTTGAAAGGTCAGATGGAAAGGTCGATAGAATGAAAGAATATTGTCATCCAGATGTTGCGGATGCCACGAGCATCCTCGGTACCTATCGTACCCATGTTTGCCTCATCATGGAGCCATGCACCCGCCCCCTTACTGAGTTCCAAACACTCAGGGAGTTTGTGAAAGCACTTAGGGACATTGTTATTGGTGAGTCTTTAATTTGTTGAGCACAAGTCTTAGGTTAAATGTCTTGGATCATAGTCCAACGTACGGCAGTATTAGAGCGCAATGTTTTGCATCGCAATTGTAGTCTCTACAATGCGATGATTGTAGATGAACTGGATGACAGCAAAGGGATGTTGATTGACTGGGAGTTCGCAGTGTTCATTTCCGAAAATGGTGAATACTCTATAGGTGGCACAGTAAATACATCCCTTAACTGCATAGAGCTCTGTTGACTTGTTTATCAGGGCACAATTCCTTTTATGTCACACAGGCTTCTCGCCCAGGTTGCAGATCTGCAGGTGCAAGCTACAAAGCAACAATCTAGAAAATCATCCTCCAACACACCCACGCTGCCGATATCTCGCGTCTCACAAAGCTATGCGGACGACCTTGAGTCCCTCTTTTACGTGTTCATTTACATTTGCATCAAATACAGCGGCCCTCATGGTGAGGAGCGTCAAGAGCCTGCAAAGGACCCGCCACACGAGATATTACCAGATAGCTGGATGACCCTCGACCTAAATGCCTGCAAGTTAAAAAAAAGTATATTTTCTGGCGGTTTCATCTGAGGAAGCCTGTATTGTCAATCAATTTCACCCATATTTTGCCGACCTGATCCCCCTGGCGAAAGAGTGGCATACATTGCTAAAAGACAACATGGAGATACAGGTGACTTTTGACAGTGTTCTTGATATGCTAGAGCATCATCTTGCCACTCTTTTGAAGACATCTCTTTGTTCTCATCCACCAAGGAGAACCTCAAGAAATTTGCTGTTGGTCTTGATGATCTTGTCAAACACTCGAAGCATGTTGCCGAGCGGGAGTCATCTATCGGAACAGAGTCACCTATCTCCATGCATTCGGCTAACTTAAAGCAGAAGAGAGCAGAAGCAGAAGACGAAAGCGGCTGATACTCATGGTGGACTCAGATGGTTGAAGGAACCTTGACCTTCATAAGTTACTTTTTTCTCGATCTTGTGTTAGCGTGGTAGTTGTACTCTCCATGTTTTCTTGGTACTAGTAGCATCATTTGCACTCAAGGTTTTGTCTTACTAGTAGTAGTGGTAATCATTAATATGTCTTTGTACCTGAACATGTGCTTAACACTTTAAGGTCAACACGCGCCTGATACTACCTGCCTCACATCACTTAGGACATGATATTATCCTTTCCTTACACCGTCATCTTGTCAAATAAGACACATGTCTGAATATTACTCTCGATATGCCTCAAGTCACTTGCTTAGAAAATTTTCTGATAAATCTCAAGAGGGCAGGCATCATATAAATACTGGTGAGTCTTGGATTGTTTCTTTACCCGTTTTTTCTTTCTGCTTCTTTGTTGCAGTCATGCCTCCTCGCGCCTTTGCTAGCCCTAAAAAGAGAAGGCCAATGAAGTGTAAAGGTTCAGATGCTAGTACCAAGAACATAGCGAAGAAGTCACAGGCACAAGAGACCAGTGTCGAAGCATCCAGTATGCCCCTTGTATCTCTTGGTCTGGTCCATGCAAACATGGCAGGTACTGACGCTCCTTGGCATCCTGTGCGGTCCAAAGCAGGAACAGGAGGTAGGGCTGCACAGTTGGAAAAGATAGGTGCTTTGCTCGAGGCTCCATCTTGAACCAACCAACGCAAGGGCTCAACATCACTTGGTCCCAACATCCCCATCAACCCTCAGGCTCCAGAACTGACTCGCAGTTGCAAAGGCCAAAAAATTCGTTCAAAGGTTTGTCGCATAGGGACCTTATTACTTGTGCTGATAGTTCGCATTCAGGCAGCTCCACCACCTTACACCAGTGTTCCAGACACCTCCAAGCCATGCAGTATTGTGGAGCCTTTACAGCTGCCGGGTTTCTCATTGCGTCAACAAGGAGCTAGGTTTGGATTCGCTGACAACTCGCTTATCATTCCTCCCAAGCCAAGTCTAAACCATCCGTATGATGCTGTCGGCAGGAACATTCCCAAAAAGTTTGCCAAGAATACTGGTACTGGTCATACTGCAGCCCATTTGGTAGCACCACCAACTACTGGCTTTTTAGAATGGACCCTGGACCCAGTGCTGCATAATGAAAACGATGGAGACAACCCAGACAATGGAGATGAGCAGAATGCGGGCCCAGAGGGAGAGATGAGAGAGCAGGAGATTGGTTGGGGGGAGGTTGGTAGACGTCACAGTGACCATCCAGGTAACATTCTTGCACTTATGACTCTCATTCTACTGTGGCATTGATGCCATATGGTACCAACTCTCCTGCATGAAGGAGAATTGATCGCCTTTACTCTCATTGTTGAAACTACTTGACTGATACGAAATCACAGGATTTTCCAGGGAAGAGCCCCCTTTGCATACCCGCCTCCCTCCAAGTTGTTGTCTTACGCCTGATTTTGACTTTACATTCTCCCGCGATGAGGATGACATGGCAACCCAAGCGAGCCTTGGTGGGGTGGCTAACTCTGCAAGGCAACCTGGAATGGAGTCTCGAGATCCCTCAGATGTCCAGTGGTACAATGCTTCCCAGGTATGTGATGACTAGATTTATTTGTACTGTGCTCAGTGTCTTTAATTTCTTTCAAGGGCCTTCTGGATAGCATGCAAGGAAGGCAACAGCTACAAGATGCTGAGGTGAGGAGACGGTATTTCTATTGAAACAAATGAAGCTCATGGTTTTTTTATCGGCCGTCACCTCAAAGCCCCAGGATGCCTTGAAGCGCCACCACAATAAAAATGGGCAGCCCCGACTACCTGACCCCAACACCCTGGAGCTCCTGCATCAAGTAACGGAGTCCGACAAGCCTACTCAGAATTCTAGAATCAAAAGATCGAAGGAACCCAATGATGGACCAAAGCCCACTCAACTCACCTGGTACGGGCCGCACTGGACAAGTTTTCTTGAGGATGCTAAAGGAGAATGTCGCACGGAACATGCATTGCAGAATCCGTTTCCGACCCTCATCAAAGATCTACCAGCGTCTGTCACCGAAGTTCTGGTTGCAGTTTTGGTCGCATGGGATCAGGAAGGTAAACAATTCAAGGCTGGTAAGCACTCATTCATTTTTTGAACTGATACATTTTGATACTGCGATACAGGAATTTGGCCACAGCAAAAGCCTAACATGGCTCGGCTGGTACGTTTTTATTCATCACATCAAGGCCTCGCTGATTCATTGGGATCTATACTAGTTATACGACGACCTCGCCACTTGGCGATCTGACTTGAAGAAGTCTGTTATGAGCATTGCACCTGTACAATACTCACTCATTCCCCTGCCTTTGGTTCCCACTCAACTGTGTGCAGAGTGGATTGAAAAAGCCGCTGCTGCATTACTTGCGAATTCACTCTTCTTACGTCATGGAGTTGACAATATGGTGAGTGGACGATCCCCAACCTGGACTATACTAAGGAAGAATGCTAGGGAAAAACAAGAAACTTTGCACATCCAGTGCTTCGGGAAGGTGTTACCGCTTTCTTTTATACTGGACCGTATTGAATTGCACAGAGGCAACCAGACATTTTCCGAAACCAGCTACCCTTATCATGCTTGGCTCTGGTTGGCACCGCAGTACTTTTCCTCTACTAGTAACTAACATTATGACATATTGACTTTCATTTCGTTTTTTATCACAGTTCAATTGTATCCTCGACGGTCTCAGAAAAAAACGGTAACGGGAAATACTACCCAAAATTTACCGCGAAGGAATATGGCCCTATTTACCGCAAAATGCTCCAGTTGCTGAAGGATATTCTGAAGGATCGTTATCACGGCCCTATCCTGTTAGTGCAGCTCCGGGAATGGGCCCAAGTGGGGTGGTAAGGAATTGATTTTGTTCAAACATTATGATATTAATTTCATTCATACAGGGCCGAAATTTCGAAGATCAATGGCGCCATAGAGTCGGGACACAACCACCTCCAGATTATTCTTGATTGAACATTCCATGTATTCCCGCTCTGATGCTGCTTTATCCATCATACCTCCTATTCGTGTATATCTGCATACATCTGTTACCGTGTTTTATTATGTTGATCTTTTACTAACGTGTTATCAATATGATCTAATTTGCATCTTATTCTTGTATCAGTGTGTGATCAATAATATCTAGTATACTAGTAGTAGTGACATATTTTAGCATGAGTCCTGTGCACGAGCGAGTTGCTGGACCATCTGTGGGCATCTGTGAGCGTCTGTGCAGAGTGCAACAGAGCCATGTGCTTCTTTGAGTCTCTGTCCAAAAGGGACCAAGCTGTCACCCTTGGACACTGTACAGTACATAGGAGTTTACTGATGAAGGTCCAGGCAATCTGTGAGGGAAGCCTGGACAGATGAGTGTTTGTTCCTCCAACACTCAATTGCTCTTGGACTGGCCATTGAATCCTCCACATCATCCACATACAACTCACATCTCAATTCCTTTATCAATTTCTGCCAGTTACACCATCGCCTCACCGATCCTACACCAGACACTTTGTCTTATTATGTGGTGTGGCTCTCACACCATATAGAACCTCACTCAGTCGATACATATCTTTCAGGTATCACAAACAAACTCAAATTCATGTTGCCAGATGTGTGTGCCACTCAGTGTTCACCTCTTGTCACTCGTACTCTACAAGGACACAAGCGGCAACTATCTAAACCCATATGTCAGAAGATGCCCATTGGAGAACATGACATCACTTGTATCATTGAAGCTGTTGGTTTGCATCCCGATTATGACAACTCCCTGTTCATTGCTATGCTGATTACTGGCTTCAAGAGTTTACAACGTCTGGGCGAGCTTGCTTGGCCAGACTCCAGGAATTTAGCGGTCATTCATTGAGGGCAGGAGGTGCAACTGCTCTCGCGAGTGCTGGAATGTCTGGAGACCTCATTCGTGCGGCAGGATGCTGGTCATCCGACGAATTTGACAAATATATACAGCACCATCCATTCTTGTTGCACACTCTCATGCATGGCACAGCTCATGTGCCTTGAAGCCACCTCGTTTCAGCTCTCATCATCGACTCTCCTCTGTTCGGCATCGGTCATTGTTCACCAGTCATGGTCTTTATCTTCGCTCCAATCTTCGCTCCAATTGACTCTCTACAAAAGCCAAATAAAAATAAAAATAAAAAATAAAAATAGCCCTTTAGCATCATGGTCGAGCCTGACTCACCATTCATCTCTCCCTGAGTCTCTCAAGCCTCTGCATCTCTGTCTGTCTCTCTCGAGCCTCTATTTTGAAGTCCTTGACTGTAACTGTCTGTACTTGTATTCCATGACCTTGACTCCAATATAAATGTGACCGGGACCCCTGAGCGTGGAGTTGGGGGTCTCTGTATGCCCTAAACATGAGACCATTCTTAAGTGTAGATTGATTCATCGTGGTTTAACTCATTTGACCAAGTTGAATCAATTTGCAACACCGGTCAAATCTTATTCATGACTCAGCCTCCACGGCTTACACATGAGGCCCCTCTATCAAAACATATATACCTACTGATGAGCTAAGATTTCCCATTGTCATTCTTGCTTTTGCAAAGCACTATCTGCTCAACTGCGTTTTTAAGCTTCCCACCCACCATCCCATGGTCGAGCCTGACTCACCATCTGTCTCTCCCCAAGTCTCTTGGGCCTCTATTTCGAAGTCCTTGACTGTAACTGTCTGTACTTGTATTCTGTGCCGAGCGTGGAGCTGGGGGTCTCTGTATGCCCTAAACATGAGACCATTCCTAAGCATAGATTGATTCAGTTATCTAACATGATCATCCTTAGCAACTTTATTCATAAACACCTGTAATTATGCAAATGTCACAACTTTATGTAAACTTAGCAAATCTATGTAAATTATGTGAATTTGCCTCGGGAAGGTTTTCCTGATGAATACTACGTAATTAAACTAAAGAGCCTCTGAACTCAACTACACTACTGGAAGAATGAGCCCCCGAGGGTGGGAGCTCCAGCTGGCACTAGCTAGTTTAAAATTCAGCACTCGTAATTCGCACCCACGTGGGACAAAGTAGTAGGATCAATCAAACCACCGTATTCTGCGATCAAGCGGGACACAGTGAGTATCAATCAACCACAAAATAATAAAGCGGTGTTCAGGGTCTAGACTAAAGCACAGAATGATCAGAATTCGAATGATTAACGAACAAAGGTGGTGGTTGAGTAAACCAATGAACAAAAATAAAGGTCAAATAAATGTATCGACGACCAGAGTAGGGCCAGAAGAGGGTCTGGGAAAACCATCGGTCCTACTTGCTTATGAAATTACAAATGGCAAATCACCATCGCGTCGTGTGGAGACGAAATAAGGGTCCCACGCTGCAAGCTGACATGAGAGAAAAGCTCAATCAAAGAACGAACGATGGCGATGGAGAATGGGGTATATTGGCGACCACTGGAAGTATGGTCAAGAGACAGGTCTGGAAATCAATCAATCCTACTTGTTTGTGTAGTCACGAATGACTGCCCACCTGGCCCATCGCGTCATGTGCAAACGAATAAAGGGTCTCCCGCTTCAAGTGAGACAGGAGAAGGGCGTAAATAAACAACGAACATGACGAAGGTCAAATGGGGTATAATGGCGACCAGGGTGTGGTCAAGAGATGGATCTGTGAAAACAATCAATCCGGTTTGCTTGTGGAGTTGCGTACGGAAACTCACCCTACCCGTCGCGCCTTGCGCAAACGAAGAAAAAAGGTCTCGAGCTTCAAGCTGAGACGAAAAATTATAACTACGCATAGTCAGACCAGTTCAGGTGAAAGGTAACGGCTGCTTACCACTAAATAATTGTACAGAAACCACCCTGCGAAAAACTTCCCTGATAATATTCGGCGTCTACGAGTATGGGGTCGTTGTTAGCCACAGTGAAACTTGAGGTATCGCCGTCCAGGGATACAGTGTCAATAAAATCAGATATTGAGGCCAATATGTCCATGATGATAGTATGGTCAGGACTGTTGCGTACGCAAAACAAAGGTCTGAGGTTGGTTACGGTTACCGAGTCCACTGACCGGTAGAGCTTTCTTTTATGAGACCAGCCAGCTCCATTATCACCCTAAAGTGGCACAGCTGTATTGTCCATTGTTCTCGCGATGGGACTAAATCATCCACTAATTAGTGGACAAGAATCTGAACTGCCTGATTGGTGTTGTGAGATATTTGTACTCGTTGAGTGATGTGGGAACTTGAAAGACTTTCATTTTTCGGTTCAAACGTCTTGTAGCGGGTATGCAGAATGCAAATAATACTCCTGCTGTGTGGGTAGCCAGTGTGACCTTGAGGACTCAATAATTAAGACCTATTCTAAGTAAAGACCGAGTCCTGAAGCGTATTAAGTGCAGGGAGACAGTTTCGTACAGCCCCTGGAGGAGCGAAATGAAGCCAGCAATTTAGTTAAGATCGGTAACTGAACATTACTTCACAAGTGAAACATCAGATTGGTTGCAGGTGGGCTCCTTCAGCACAGAACAATATACAATTTGGAGTAACTTTGGAGTTACAAGCCTGGAGTCAAATCATAAATATTTAAATGGCGGACCTTTATTAGAGATTCTCACGCATGCATCTGCCCCCCAGTGTTAATATTAATGCATGCCGCTTTTTTGTTGCTTTTGTTCTTTTCCTTTGGGGAGTATATGCAACGAAGGATTACTGCAAGAGTCCTCAAGCGTTACAATCCACTATGTTAGAACCGTTAATAATCCCTGTGTTCGGTTTGTCCATCAAACGACTCATTTCTGCCATTTCTGCATCCTGATTGATTCACTGAATCACGATTCAAAAGTAGCCTTGTTTCTCCCACCTCCCTCGTCTGTCACGAAGTGCTCGTTCTTTGTCTGAGAATATATTGGTTCGTGAAGCTTTCAAGTTTCGTCTTCGCCTAGTCTCGAACCAAACCGTCTAGGATCACCTTGGGGGAATACGTCCGGTCCGTATCGAGTCACGGAGCGTTAGCGGCGTTGTTTTCAATCTGGATTAGACTTGCCAGAACGTCGAGGACGTCTCGTTTCCTGTCGAAAAACAGACTTTCTGAGAACGCCTGGCTCGAGACTAGTTTCACTCCGCCAATTTTCCCGCCACCTGAGGTCTTTCAGGCTTCGAGTAGTGGCCTTTGCTTGGCCTTCCTTCGTATGATGACATTTAAATAGTGCCAAACTCAGCCTCGTATGTCTCTGGTTGTCCCTTTGTCAGTCAGTTTTGTATGAATTATCCTCCCGAAGTGGCGCAGTATCGCATGCTTGCCTGCTAACTGACTCATTCAATACCAGTAAGTACTGTTCTCGCTCTATGCTATGTATGTGTTTTCGTTCATTAAAGTTGTTAGTGTTCTTTTGGATCCTTCCTGTCTGTTGGTGCGGGTTGCCTCCCGGTTTAAACATACCCTGAGAGTCGGGGACTTGGGCTGATGGAGTATTGGACTATTCGTCATTTGGTATGACGCGCGTGACCACTCGACGCTCAGCTTCAGTTGCCGTGTCTTCCATGAGGCAAATCCACCTGATCGAGGCAAAGCCCGTTCTATATACATTAGCACATTTGCGCAATGACTTAAACGGACTTGCAACGACAAAATGGATGTCAAGAGCTCGCTCCAGGTATCAATGCAGATTTTTGCTATTTCTAAGTGACGTGGCATAAGAATTAGCAACTTCTTCTGAACTGTACCAGATTGCATGATACCAGTTTCGTGTAGAATTGTTACCCGCATCGAAAACCGGACTTACTGGTTCTCGTCGTGGCGAGCATTCGGCTGGCCGAGGAACGAGACCAAGCCAATGTGCTCATCATGCTACAATTGGGTGATTCACACCGTTGCGATCCTCTTCACTAGTAGTACATCCCGTGCACATTAATTTTTCAGTTTTAGGCGCTATTCCTGGGGCACGAACAATCGAGCGGACAACAGCAGAATGCGCAGAGGTGTATCATGAATGTAGAGGTTCTGTCGCCGCATGAGGGCCCTACGATTATAACATAACGCGTCCACACATCACGGTCATGATATTAATGCGAGATGATTTCCTTCGGCAGGTGTCGACACGGTGTTGATTCGGCTCCGCTATCTGAATCTGATAGCCACTATCAAAATAACAATACTAAACCTTAATTTACATAAGCTTAATTAATAAGCTATGTTCTATTAAACAATGGCAAAACACAACTCCATTATAGTTTTATTCCTAAGGCCTTTAAAAGTCGCAACTACCAGTGCGCATGGTCATTTTATTCCAATTCCTTCGTCAGCTGATAACCTCTACAAGGCCTTGAACCCACCGTCATTGACTCCTAACTTCGCTCCTCAAACAACCCACTTGCTTTATTCATGCTATGGACACTTTTCTATCCATCGTCGAGCAATTTCATCTAATGACAAGTCTGGAGAATGACAATCATCCAGAAGATTATGACGGGCTACCCGTCGACCATGAAAGTTCCCAATTCTTAGCGGGTGGATTTTGTGTCATCGTTTGATGTCGATTATCGTCATGGCGTTGCCTATGCAACAATGCAAGTCTGCTGCTTTCGTTTGTTGCCTTCGTTCAACGCTGAAGAGCTTTATGGCAGTCATTAAACACCCAAAGCTACTTCACATTTCATCTATCGTTACCAAACCCCGGCTCATATGCTGTCCACTCTTTCGTCACCACTTTCGTTCTACTGTTGTATACGTAGTCCAGTTCTGATCCGTGTTGCACAATACCTTACTGCTGACCGTTGTATACTCTGTCCTCTTAACAATTTACTAGTACGTACGTCTGCGCCAATTCCAGCCTCTTTCATGTTCTTTGAGCAACTTTGTGTGAAGCTGTAGCTGCAATAGTACTATAAATCTTGTCTCGAGAAGCAACAATTGTCTTGCTGAACTACGATCGCATGTTCGAACATAATTTATGCTGGATGAGGCCTGCAGATTGAGGGTCATAACTGCCTGTACATGTATGCCCATTACATAATAATATTCAGTGGTCGCCCACATAGTACTGCCGCGGAGTTGATAAGTCATTGTTTATTACATAATAATATTCAGTGGGACAGTGGGGTCGCCCACACTGCCGCGGAGTTGATAAGTCATTGTCCATTATAACGTAAGCGATCCACAGTCCACGGTAGTTTTCCTTTGTCTTTAAAATCTTAAAACCAAAGGCCTTTTACAATGGAATCTCGCACCCCCCTGCCTATAATCCTCTTCAAAGATTCTGATTCGAATGCAATATCCGTCACTTCCTGCAGGCGCCTTCCTTGCCGCCGCTCTGGTCCTTGTTCCTTTGCCTTGGCATTGGCAGGCTCGTAACATCGGGACCCTGTCCATCATAGCATGGTTATTTATTGTGAACATTATCTATGCCATTAATACCATTGTATGGGATGCAAATGTCAACAACCCCGCTCCACTTTGGTGCGATATCAGTGAGCTGCAAAATTTACTGCTCATGCTGAGCCAACAAACTGACGTATATCTAGCCACCAAGCTCATTATCGGTGCAAACACCGCGCTGCCTTTGGCGACTATGTGTGTTTGTAAACATCTTGCACTCGTGTCGTCAAAACGTGTAGCACGCCTCGATCGCGATGATAAACGGCGTCGCATGATCTTCGACGCAGTGATATGCTTTGGAATTCCTTTGATTTTTATGGCCTTGCGTAAGTCTCTTGGTAGTATTTTTGCGCGATTAAACTCACAACTCATGGAACCACAGACTATATTGTGCAAGGTCACCGGTATGACATCGTTGAGAACTTTGGCTGCCAACCTGCAACATACTTTTCCACCGAAGGTATCATAATTGTTTTGTTGCCGCCCCTGGTTTTGGCAACGGCTACGCTTATGTACGCAGGTCAGTTTTTTTTGGCAGCGCATCGGTGTACAATGTTATTGATGTCAATTCCACTGTTCAGCTCTCGCGCTGTATAACTTTGCTTGTAGACGCATGGATTTTGCAGCACATTTACAGAATGCCAACTCAGTCCTCACAACACACCGTTATCTTCGCCTTATGGCCATGGCTGTTACAGAAATCGTGTGGGGGACTAGTTTGACGGCCTTCAACCTCTACAACAACATTCATGTGGGCTTGCGACCTTGGATCAGCTGGCAGAACGTCCACTCTGATTGGCTCCGCGTCGACCTCTTTGCGTTCATTGAACTGTCGCCTTCGTTCATTAGAAGCATGTTCTTGTTGTGGTGGGCGATGCCTGCCAGTGCATACATATTCTTTTTGTTCTTTGGCTTCAGCGAGGATGCGAGGAAGGAGTACGGCAAGATCATCAAAGCTTTCCGAAAACATGTCCTAAGACAGTCGAACAAGGATGTTAGCTTTCATGGATCAAATCTGCCAAGCGCCAGGTAGGTTCTCATATCATGCTCAGAATCTCATTTGCTAACATCTGTTCCAGGCATCGTGGTCCAAAAATTGCACCTATTCCCTTGGTGCCTCTTGCCGACAACGGGATGTCACGCTCTACCACAATTCCGTCTAGACCCTACAAGGTCACTTTCCCGAATGCATCTTATATTCCTCCCTCCAAATACACTCCCGACATTGAAGCTGGCTGGCCTTTCGGAAATACCTGACTGTCTCATACCCTTGGAACGCTCATCCCATCGCAGTCATCTCAGCAGCCCTCATTCACGTGCCTTGACTACATCAACCATTGTTGGGGCTGGTCCTAAGCCTTCATATCCTTATGTCAGGCCTTGGAGCCCGCCAATTATGTTGCCTCTTCGCAGTGATAGATCAGCGTCACGAGCGCTTGGGCGCTGACGTTATAGATCAACCCGAGCCTACTGGTCACAAGAGGATATTCTCGTCTGTGTCTTCATGTAACCCTTTTGTCACGCTCCTTAACATTCTATTTCGCATTCATGTACATATTTCATATAATCACACTGTCCTTACATATTTCATAGCTCGTTACATAATTTCGCACTGTCCTTACATATTTCATAGCTCGTTACATCATCGCACTGTCCTTACATATGTAGAACATCAAATTACTACCAGTACCCCTGGACGTTTAACATCCATGTCTCGCACGCTCACTGCTCACCCAATTGAATATCGAACATTCATACTTCCTATTATTTCTACCTGATGAGTCTTCGGTGGTCAGAACGTTGATGGTCAGGATTGGTGTACACTCGCTATGAATTTTCAAGATCACAAGACAAATATTTTGAGATGGGATGGACGCCAACCCACCACTGGCTAATAAACTACAAAGATACGCCAGCATTGAGAACTATCACCTTTCGCCAATCTTCGTGGACCCTGCATAATATTTGGCTGAGAGCCATAGAGAGGGATGACGATCTTCCTATGTTGTGATAGTTGGTCGCAGTAAAAAAGGCGCCTTGAGGCACATTCCCCAAAGTAATGCGTTTTTGGAGTGTAAGATCATCAGCCAAGCAACTCATCAAGAAAATTTTCCATTTCCACTTTGGGTGCCTTTGGTGCATCGGTGGGAAGGGCTGGTGCCTCAGCGTAGTTGTCATCTGGCCGGAGTGTCGATGAATTTCAGTGCAGTGTGACGAGAAGACCCTACCTTGTTTTCTATCACGTGCAAATGGAGGTTTTGCTTTGAGCTTCTCCGACTTTGCACGGAATCGTGTTCTCAGATCTATGGACTATAATCAATTTTCTACACACCGGCTATCGTTGATTGAAGTCACCTCGACTTGCATCTGCAGCGGCCTTTTCACGATTCATTTCTTCAAGTTCTGAATCCCATTCAATGACCTGTACGCGTCCCTTCTGAGACGTTGGAGGTGGGATACGATGAGATGAGATATGTGCGAGTTCATGGTCGATATCATCATCATCGACTTGAGGCACCGCAACCACAGTCGTCTCCGACACGTCCGATAACCGTTGTCTCGCAAGAAATGACGATAGGTCTACTTCCGGCTCACAAATCTCCTCTCCTACACAGTGTTAAACATAAGCTCAACACATCATTCACTGATCACTAACCGTCAGAATCCAACTCAGGCTCGAGCTCTACATAACGATCGGCATTGGATCCAACTTGCCGCCGTGAGTACTTCTTTTGAAACTCTTTCGCCTCTTCCGAATCAGGGTCTAGATCGACCACTTCTTCGCCTTCCAGCACTAGGCGCTGGTGGAATTCTGCTGGACGGCCACCTCGACCACGGCCTCGTGCGCGGAGGTACTTTCCTAGCCCACCACGGGACTTTCCACGACCCCTGCCGCGAGCGCGCGATGCTTCGGAGGTTGATGGGGAATTTGTTTCTGACATGTTACACGGGTAGACTGATATGGGCTGTCATCATACAGGTAAGTACACTACGGTAACTAAATAGAAATCTATGTATCGAATAAGGAAGGCAGCACCTTGTGATTTCAATAGGTACAAACAAACAACTGGCAACCGACCGGGCATAACAAGTATTGATTTACACAATAATACATAGCAATAGGAAGGTGCTAAGCGCTAGATAATAGACTTCTCGATCCCCTGAATACAGATGGCAGCTACTCTTCATCCAGACAAACGCCACTAAAGAAACAATAGATGCCCCAAATATAAATGCACATGTAAATGGTAAGTCCAATGCATAGCGAAATCAGCATATCAGTGACATCGCATGCAGTCTGCTCATGCCAACTGAGAGTTACGGGTGTGGGCTCTGGAACGGAAAGTCGTGGGGGTGTCATCAGAATGACTGAAGGTTCCTGAACTGGTCGCTCAGTAATCTCCCGGCTAGGCCAGCGTAACGTCATCGGATGGTCGTAGACGACCTTCCTACACCCTTCCATGTCTTGTCGTAATTTTCTCTCTGCTTGCTTAGCCAAGCAGAAGCTTAAATAATCTTGCGGATCCATCTTCGTGCAGCCAAATTCAGTGAGCTCCCAGGAAGGAGAGCGAGACTTTTCAAGTTCCATCTGCTCGAGATGTTCGCGCTCTAGAAGATCCTCCATGTCCCTGAAGAAGCCAGGGTAGGATGTGAGGCAGTCTTCATATACGGAATGGTCGTCATCATCATCCGAAAGAAACTCTCTGAAGGGGTCGGTATTCTGGAAGCAGTGACGTCAATTGATGTAAGAAACAATGTCGAATAGTACACAAACATTTATGATAAGACAGGATCGCAATGCCCCCTTTGGAGTGGGAGACCTGTGAGGTTTGATTCGGCGCCTGGTGCGGAAGTACGTCGGCGACTCATCGAAACGGACCAGCTGTGCAGAACGAATTAGAAAACTATCAGTTATAATACAAGAGTAATAATCACTTTTGGACTAGTCAACTTCTCCTGGATCGGAGACCCGACAAGTGTCTCAGACGGTGAGGTAAGATCTTCGGTGAGATGTGTTTCGCCATCACAGGACTTGTTCTTTCGTGAGGGACGAAGCAATCGTCTCCACGAAACCGCAGAAATTCTCGAAGATTGAAATACTAGTGCCACGGAGCGCCATGGAGTTGTATTTTTAACCTTTGGAATAGTAATTCTAAGCACGGGGCGGGAGGACGCTTTCGGGGATGAAAAGGGCTTCATGGTGACACCAAAAACTCCAAGATAAACTCGACCGCTGGAAAGTGAGCTGTGCGCAAGCGGAATATGGATCAGTGATCAAGTAGAGGCGACAAGAGCGACGAGGGTTGTGTAATAGATAGAAACCCCTCTGCTGGGGATGCAGATGGAGAGATATACGAGGCAAGTCGAGCAGGTAGAAGTTGGGCGGATGAAAAATGCACGCATATTGAAGCCTCTCCATTTATTCTGTGATCTCCACTCACTGCAGCTGTGGACAAATCTCTGTGGACACAATTCTTCTGCATTGTGTATAGATTTAAGACTCCGGCCTCGTCCGGCTGAGAGTGTATGCGAATCAAGCGTCGTCTAGGACATCAAATGTGATGTTGTGGAATGTGGACGAACAAGCGAATCACATCGGGGTTTGCCTGAAGCACGTTTTTGATGGAGACAAAGCAAGAAGCACTTTCCGACTTCCGAGTGGCACTAGAGTGTTTGTCGAGATGCTGCAATGCAGACTTTCTGCTAACGACAGGCGTCTCAGTTGCAATTGAACAACTATACATACGATTTGGTAGGTCTGCATATTTTGGCGCCATCGAATCTCGATCGTGTAATACACTCGATTCCTGGAATGATTGTCTTTCTTCTATGTGGTTTGACTATACAAGTAAGCTTTCCGTGTACACGGAGGTGTACAACATTGAAGGACGAGATGCATCATGCATTCACTTAGCCAAAGATGTTGCCAGTGGGGGATGTCCACCCCGAGTAATTTATGTGTGACGCGTGACAGAAATCATTTGGACTCGGAATCCTGGCTGCTGAAGAGGGCATCTCCGGACAACGTCTGGAACACAGGCCCATAATCGGTCGGCAGATTCGGCACCTCCAAGCGGAGTATGAATGTTGCTGCTGTTCTGTCTGCAACAGCGCCAAGGACTTACCTCCATAGATGTTGGGAGCCTTTTTGCTGCCATGCAGCGACACAACGAGCCCGCCTTTCCTGATGTACTGCACCCTCAATAACTGACTTTCTCTTTGACGTGGTGGCAAGGAGATGGGCGGGCAAGGAGAAGCCAACGGGATGTTACTAGGCGACAGCGGCGGGCGCTTGGGCGGGATCGATTGACATGGCCGTTGAAACAGTGAGCGTGGTTTAAACACAGCCATTGGCTGCCATCGTGTCCCACACTTTAGCTTGTACTTTTGGCCCAGATGGCCACTGACATTCTGCTGCTGGAGGTGTCGCAACAAACTATCGCAAACAGATCCTTAATTAGAGGTTCTCGAAAGTACTGCGTGCATTAACAACTTGAACGTTAATCAGAGAGACCCTTTCCCCCTTTCCTATTCAGGTCTGGTGGCACGAGTGCAGTAGAGGTAACAACTAGGCTCGCCTCGCTTTCCCTCAATACATCGGTATCTATCAAGTGTTGTACCCTCTCTCTATTCTCGTGAAAAGCTCATGTATTCAGAATTTACAATGAGGAAGCAATGGTATGTATATAACGGCCTGTTGTAACCTGTTGGAGTAAGATGCTGATATATGGCGCTACGGTGAACGCAATCGACTTGTCACAGCCAGGTGAAATCGAACGCAATACGGAATACGCATTCAGACCAACGCCATCCTCTACTCTACTCGTAGATGGGGAAAACACCAAGGCTTCATAGCAGACTTCTTACGGTAAGTAACGCCGATGCGGCTATCTGCGAGCAAACTAATGAATGTTAGGACGTTAAGCTTGCATCTCGTCACCTCAAGTCTACACTGAATAACTGAGTAATCAACCGACCCGCTGCACGAACCAATGACAAGCCGACAACGTCGGTGAAGAATCGGCTCCGCTACATTCTAGAATGATGTTGGCCCTCTCGCAACATTTTTTGTTATATCAACGACTGCTGACATAGACAAAACTGTCGAAGGGACAAGTTGACACGTGTTGATAGGGTTGGAGAGGAAGTCCGACAACCCCTGGACTTTCAGTGAGTGACCGCAGCTGTCTCTTACCATTCTACCCTTGCGTTTCCTTTCTGTGCTCTATGTATTAGCCATTCCTTGGATCTTCCTATCCTTTGACCTGCCTCCTACACTTTCTTCGACATGCGTCAGAATTTGACATCCCCGTCCAAGACCAAATCAAGGGAAGAACCCTAATAAATAATCGAAAGCATACTACGTATTGTACACGGATAAACTACTTCGACATTGTGGTGAATTTGGCCAATTGAATCCAAGTATTTCACAAGTTAACTCAGCCAAGCGCGTTGTATCACTCTGAATCTTTGTGAGTCGCCAGCCATCCACCCTGCCAAAAGTCATATTCAGCGAATTGCCAGAATAAAGAAAAACAAGCTCACGTTAAAGATGCTGTTATGGTGCTGCCAGTCACATAGGTAGACAGGACGATTCTTGTCCTCTACGTGCTCAGCAACAGCAGCCGACACCAGAGAAATTTCCACGGGTGTGACTCTACGAGAAGCGGCACGGTGTTGTGGTACCTGTGTCACCTCTAGCCCTCCCTCAGCCCCAGCAAGCTCTGAGCCAGTAGCATCCACAAGCCTTCCAACGAACTCGCCCTTGATGTGAGCGAGAGTCTGGTCGAACGAAACCCCTGAGTCTCCGCCTCCGTTGGATCTGATGATACTGTCGATCAATTCGGGAGGAATGGGAATCAGCCCGCGAACTATGGATCCTGCCTCACGGCGTATAGCACATGCTTTACAAGGAGAATGATCTGGCCTTGCAAAGACTGTAATGGTACCTACGAGCTGCGGACTCGAATGAGCATTCCCTTTATGGTGAAGCTGGAATGAGTAGGAGCGGTTGTATGCATGCTCCAGAAGTTTCACATGCACACCAAATGTGCGGTAGTGAGGAATAACGGTATGATCACTTGGCACGGCAGGATCTTCCTTGTTTGGAACAGGTAAGTGTTTCCAAGCCTGCGAGGTCACCTGTTTCGCCTTGGTTTGCGGATCAAAATCATAGTAAGCTTGCACCCTTTTGCGCGCCTCGGCACGCTCTTGGGATGACATGGCTGCTTGATCCACCTTAATTCCCTCAAACTCGGGAAACGAGTAATCTATTTAACGTAAACTTGTGTCATCCAATAGATAAGATCACTACGCACACTTGGGGTAGCTTTGTTCGTGCAAAAATCGGGTCTGAGAAGAGGTCCAGTAGTCTCTTTGTTGCGTTCGGAATGGTTGGAGCGCCCCGTCTGGAAGGAGTTGTTCGTTGTAAACTTGCGCGTACGTGCCACGTGCCTTAACGACAATTATTGAGTATCTGTGCGAGAACATCGTCCAACCCATACCTGTGTCCAAGGGTATTGCTCCCCATCCTGTTCATACCCGCTTCCCATCCAATATTCGGTGTAGCACCACTCCCACAGAGCGACTTAAAAAAATTCAATAACAAGATAACACCCTTGAACGAAATCATACATAGTCTGTCCACATTCGAATGGTGAACTGAAGGAAACCACGTAAGTAATGCAGACGGGTAATTTGCACCTATTCACGTACGGAAAAAGATAGGATCAAAACCGGCCTATGTGAAGATGAGCGCCAAAATCATCGCAGAGGGTCAAAAGGAATTACTCACGTAGTCTGGGTAACTCTGCAAATTTGGTTAATATAGATCAACAAGCTTCATTCGCACGCAAGCAACTAACCATTTGTCCATTCCCGCCCTAACTCATCGCTGGAGTAAGCATACTTTAAAGTTGGAACAAATGTATTCCACCTACAAGTAATATATGAACAGTGTCGTGCACGCCTTCAAGCGACCCACGGTTGACGAAGTCTATATCTCTCTTTGATTCCGCGGTATGATTAGAGAAGTCATCCCAGCTTTCAGCATATTTGTCAATACATTCATGATACAGGCAGAAACTAAAACGTACGCTATCGCAGAATTTTCATCATCATTGAACGTGAAGAGTTGAGCGACTCTGCGTCTTAGATCGTTTGCCCCGGCTTTGAATGTCCTTACAAATACAAAATCAGCACCAGTTTCGCGCAACATGTCCCCGTAGATTCTCACTTCTGCAACAAGTCTGTATGACTGCCTTCAGGGTCCGGGGTGCTAGAAGCGTAGCGGTATGTCCTCTGCCACTTGGAGAAATACGCCACTTGTCCTGTCTACAGACTACATTTGAGCAAGTTCAGTGATCTGGAAAGGAGAAGGTGACATTACCGAGTCATCTTTCTCATCGCTAAAGTCGGATGGGACTCCACCGACATACGAGAAATATGAGAGTGGATTATTGACGATTTGTTTTTGACCACCAACAGCCATAATTTCGACTTTTTCTTCGTACAGAACAGGAGGAAGGCCATTCTCGGGCACATCCTTACCGGCCCAGTCCCAGTATCTGCGCATAATATAAATGGCTGTATCAGTGTCGGGAATGATTTATCACGCACGGAAAACGTAGTTCCTTTGCAGCTTTGATCCACACTCCACTTTCATCCGGGTTATTAGCTTCAATGTCTTGGGCCAATTTTTCAGCAATGTTTCCGATCGATTGCTGGAACCCAATAGAACTGAATTGAATAGCGCGTCAGGTATGATCGTGCATTAAACATACCTCAATAAGCATAACATATGGGCGGTGCCAGGTGGGAAACACAACAGCGCCATGGCTGAAGAAAGGTTTCAAATCAACAGAGCGAGAGGAGGTATATCAACTTACTTGCAATAACCTGTCACACAATATTGTCAGGCTATAGAGAACAACAGCGGAAACGATGGCCATACCTCCAAATCTGGAAGGGACGGGATTGGTATCTTTCTTGTCATTGGCGCTATAGTCGGCTGAGATATCCTTGTTGCGGTCACCAGCCCATTCAACATAGGGCTTGCCGTGAATTGACGCAATTTCCATGAAGGTGGCTGCAGGCTCTTCTACAACTTGGGGAGCATCGGAACGCTGCTGGATTGCACTGAAAGCAAGGATGAACAATGCAAATTGATAGGGATGGTCCTTCTCCAGCGTCTGGATAGGCAAGCGATCAAATATGCCTCCAGTGCCCTTGCGGCCGATCACGGGATAGTGGTATTCAACGGAGCTCATTGTTGGAGTGGGTCAGAGAGCGGTAACAAATCGGGTTTGACCAGCTGCATTTATATACACACAACAGGCGCGCAGAAAAAGCCGCCTTGCGCGGAGCCGATCGGCGACTCTCATAGGTGACTGATTAGCACAGATAGATGATGTGGTAATTGATAGAGAATGGGGTAGAAAACACTGGTCGGATCTGCTGCGCAGCGCCCATAAAATCGAATTTGAATAGCATGTGGATTGAACGGATGATCTAATCTATATGGAGGACAATGGATGTCGCGGCTCATAAACCCTTCCGACCCAAAAACCTGCGTAATAGTCACACGATGAAATACAGGAACGAAGGTCTCCTACTTACTAGGGCAGTCTGCATACTGTAGACCAAAAGTGTGTGACACCTGCATGACATCAAGACAATGATGTGATGGCCTTGATCTTGGCCATAACGTCAGAAGGGCATTAGATGCCGTGGTGGACGCTGTCCCTCAACAGTCCAGCTGCCATCATGCCGGCGATGTCTCATCCACGTAAGTCTGTCCGCATACCCCTAGTACTGGTTAGTGTGCAAATAAACGCAAGCTCGAAACACACGATAGAATATCAGATCATACTTGAACGAACTAATTTCGAAAGATAAAGAAAGTTCCTTTCAATCAGCGATGTCATCGGTATTAAATGTTTCCCGGAAGGCAGATGACTGAACGCCGTCTGTCGACGGTAGAACATTGTTTGTAATCAAATAGCCAAAGTAACATAACAGGACCTTGAACAAAAACAGTGATCGAGGGCAAGGCTTGGCCGACCCAAACAGGAGTCGACGATAGCGGTGGGCTCCCCTTCAGGGTTGAGAACGTGCTGATTATTCAAGAGACCGGACGGCCCAGAGCCGTCGGTCCATCAGTGAACTGGTGAGGAACCAGCCAGGCCAGGCTTCGATAGGTTTCAGGTGATGACTGTCCAGGAACGCAAGCACTGTGGACATGCAGATACCACCCTTGCTTATAAAACAAAGTCAAGTACCACACGCCTGAAGAATATCGAACACGAATGATCAGTGAAGCGAGGTTCCGCATATTGCTGCAAGAACCTCACCAGGATAATTCATCAGCCAAGTGAAGACAGACTACAGATTGCACCGGCACATGAATGATACTCGGGTCCCGTGGAGATGTTGCAATAGATGAATCAGGTTGATCACACAAACGTACGCGGCGCTTCGGGGGCCATGGTGCTTGTAAGTCTCAAGTCGAAGAATGATGAATCATGTTGATTGCGCTGCACATGCTAACTATCAGTGGGCATTCTCAGATACTACATGTGCATAGTGAGAATTTCGCCAGCTCATCGGGGAAAGAAAATGGTAGCTTACTGCAAGTGGGGCGTTTTCCGGACCCAACTATCTGCAAAACGGAACAATCGATATTATAGTATGAAGAGGATGATCTCTCTTATCAGTAGGTTTATCGATATCATGAGACGAAGGAGGGTGGTCGTTTCTTCTAATAAAGATGCATTCAATGGACGGTGAACGGAAACGTCCGCGGGTTATGTCAGTTTTGCTCACGACTCGCCGCCACCAGGCTGGAAATATGTACGAAATTCAGACAAATCCAGCATCTTCTTAGTTCTAGGACACGCTGTCGACAATGGCAACGAGCGAATTAGCATTAGGAGCACGTTTTCAATGGGGACAAAGCAAGGGGCGCTTTCCGACTCGAACTTCCGAGTGGTACTAGTAGAGTGCTTGCCGATTCCCGAAATACTGCGGCAATATGCAAACTTTCAAGTTGTTAACGACAAGTCACGGTGTCTGAAATTGAACCACTTGGCAGTGTTCACTGTTTACATACAACTCGGTAAGTCTACATATTTCGGCGCTGTCGATATCGCGTAGTGCGCTCGATTCCCGCTTTACACAATAGAAGGAATGAATGTCTGCCTTTTCCGTGGTTTGGCTACGCAGGTATGTAAACCTCCCGCATACTACACGGAGATGTATAATATTAAAGGACGAGGCGCATCTACTTACATAACCAAAGATGGCCCTTGGCCTGCTTCATTGGGTGGGTGTGTTTCACCCCGAGTCATTTATGCGACAGGCATGGCTGCTGAAGCTTCTCAACTGGAAGGCGAAGGTGCGATATTAATAAACCATCGTTGAGATTCTGGGCTAATTACACAAGGGAGTGTTCCAAGAAGCGAACAACCTACGTCATTATCAGTCAACTCACAATAAAATGATGAACGAAAAGGATTACGACGAGCCTGAGAAAGCAGAAAGACTCTTCCCAACTCCGTCTCCTCCACCGACGGTACTTTGTTCACAGAGGTGGCCAGGATGCAACCTCGAATCATTGACTGCGGTGCGGCACGCATTGTTCGACAACCACACTCGATATCACATCTTCAGGAATTACATTAAGTTTCACAAGTGAGCAATGGAAAAACTACACTATGCGATGATTCGCGGGATATCCTAGCCACATTACTCATCGAGCGCTTGCGATATACACGTTAGGAGAGAGCGGCCCCGTAATTCAAGCATTGTACAAGCGCATGATTCAGAGATGCCTTTGTATCACCCCACTCAATCATAGCGCAAAATTTTGTTGACCATCTCGCTGATGAAAAGTGAGCAAGTACTTGCCCCACATTCCCTGACCTTCATGTTCTTATATTCGGAATCGACAGCTACTACGAAGCATATATCACTTTCTTCGCTAAGGCCATCGAAGAGAAGGGCGCCTCTGCAACTTTGGATGAATCATTTCTTCCGAGAAGTATAACTTCCAGCCTGGAAGAGACGCGAAAAGCCAGCCGGAGATGTTGTGCCGATTCGTAGATGCAGTCATGCATCCATTGATTTATTGTGGACATGGCGTCGAATTTGGTTTATAGAGCGCACTTGCTGAGGGTAAGTCACACGTTGGTGCAAAGCACAAGCCCTACTTCTCCGCACATACCTTTCAAGTGTTGTTGCTTGGTTCGTGGCACGCAGCCGACCCCCCTCCTGAATTTCGAGTCCTTCTTTGAGTCGACACCCACGATACCGAACCCCCCAACAGCCTCGCTGTCCCATCAGTGGAAGGTATTCCAACAGAGACATCTAACTCATTACTTCCTCTCGTTCAATCATCCATGATGCATCCCAGTGAGCATCACCCCAAGATCCAATGAGCTTTCGCACACTTTTCCACCATCTACGGGATCCGGCCGAGGATATTTGCTCAAACTGAACTAGATGGGACAGGGAAACTTGACGGCTCGTTGTTCGTGCGAGCAGCGGCGTTGACTGCAGATTATGTGGGATGGGCTAGAGAAGGGGAAGAGGCGAGAATTTGGAGTTTCGAAGGGTTCTATGTGTAAGTGGTGAGAGAGATCGGAGCACCGTGACTGTTGGTTTGAAACAAGGGTGGGGGTTAGCTCAAGCTGAATCTAACTGGCACTCCTTCAAGCATCAGGTGTAATAATATGGCCAAGGTTCAGAACAGAAGAAGTCAGTGATGTATTACAACCCGCAGAATCGTGTTAGAGAAACCGGAAAGGGCATCTGGTAGTTAAGTATAGCTAAAGCTAAAGTACAGAGTCTGTGCGGCACTGTAACGATTACAAATCATAACATTAGCCAGGTGCCTGTGGATATTCATGGTGCAACACGAAATCATTCCCATCAGAGCGACCACCAGTCCTTACAGAAACCAAGGATTAATCTTCTACAGCAGGAATGGCTCCAGTGCTTTCCACAACTGCGTCGTCGGGTGGGTGACTGACAGCGGGTGGTGTACATTCTTGAACGGGAGGCACTGATCCACCGAACTCGTACTTGGGAGGGCGATCATATATATTGTAGGCAGGAAGTATATCTTTCCCATCCCAATCTGGATCATCAGGCCCTCCAGTTCTGCGCCCAGCAGAATCAATATCCGCAGCATTGACTCTACGATCGGGGCGGATTCTGCGATCGGGGCGATGAGCCGATGGGAGAGGAGTAAGATGGTGGTGCATCCGACGAGAGGGCTGATATGAAGAACTGAATGTATAGTCTTCTCCAGGAGCTTGAGAGTTGTCGTAAAAATTTGATGTCTTGATAGAGAAGAATTCTGTGAGAGGTCGGTTTCTCCTTCGCAAGACACATATCCTTGACAAAGATTAGTAAATATCTTGTATGCGCTTCACGTGAAATCCCGCACCTTGCTGCCACCAAGAGCATCAATGCAGTGACAGCAATGATAAAGTAGAGGTGTTGAAGAATGGACTATAGAAACAAATTTCGAAGATTCACATGATGGTCAGCGGCTCGTCGGAAAGTGATAAGTTGATGATAGCTGACCTTGTTACTCAGATTCTCAGTGGAGCCCTCGGTTGCTAAAAGTTCCGAGCGACCCATGAGCGCCATGGAAGCACTCAAGGGGATAAAAGTCATTTGGAGAGGCTGCTAGTCGACTTCACACTCGGTTGCGCAGCATTTTCCTACAATCACTAACTGCTGCATGTGCCATGTGAACGACGTTTATTTTGGTCGGTGACTGGTGACCAGAGTTAAGTCTAACTTAGTCCTAGTGTAGCAGCACACGCCACAGAAACCAAAGCTACCACAATATAATATGCCACGCACGTGAGTGCTTCTACCGGCAATGGGAAACTCAACGAAGTCTAATAGGCAGGAACAATAAATTGACTTGGATGAGCTCGTCGTTGCCGCTCATGTCGACCTCCAGGGCCAGCCCGGTCATTACAATGGCTGGCTCGCGTTTCTTCCCAAAATCCTTCACATCCTCTCAAACTTTTACCACTCAGAAAGGTTCAGGGGATCCAACTCGGGCGTCTGTAGTTCACCTCTTGGCTAGGGCTCATTCTCTTCCATGTTCGGCAGCTTTTCAGGCATTCATGCAGCTCGTGCAGCCTACTGCAAGGTTTCAGTTAGCTCTTGATCTGCTACTGCCCCTCCTTACTTCATCCGCTGATGTCAGTTGAGTTCTGTTGACAGTAATTAAGGTTCTCACTGACCTCTAACTATTCTGCTGCGATGTGGCAGCTCGCACAACGCATCCCGGTTTCATTTATTCTTTATTCCATGTATGCTCCTTATCCGATTTCTCTCAATCCCTTCAAGTCTGTCTTGTACGCTACATTCGTTAAGGAGAGAGAACTCGCCATAGAAATTTCAACCGAGGGCGGGTTCAGCGAGAGGGAGCAATTGGTTTGGGTTCTCTGGAAGATCCTGAAGGGGGATGGTAATGATGTAAATCCGATATTGTCCTACCTTTTATTTCTCTCACAGTCGCCCAGATTGGTCCCTATTCTCCTAGTACCTTGACAAAATCACCCCTGCCTCCGGAGTTGAGGGCTTCATGTCTGTTTTTGGGTGAAGAAACTTTCTTGGAGAATGACCCGTAAGCAGTAACTTCACTCCTGTCGATCTTTCTATACCCTAATTCGTCAGTGACCATTCTGTTGCCAAATCCACGATCACGGCAGGAGAACCGAAGCAATTTGCCGAGCAAGGTGCTTCCAAGAATTTGCTACCATCACTCCCGCCGGCCACGGAGACCAAGATTACACGAGAAGCAGATCGAGAGAATGAACGCATCGCCCAAGCAATGAAACTTGTACTCGCAGCTCGTGATCGAGCACTCACACTCACAGAACAACGGGTAAGTATTGTGAATGAATGAATTTGATATCCGCTGTGACGATTCATTGCAGACCTTGACGCCTTTAATACCCCGCCTGACCTCTCCCACGATGATAACTTCCGTGGACCTACCCCCCATTGTCTCGTATAATCCTAACATAGCTTACCAGATTGTCATCGCTTTACTGATGGCACTTCCTAATAACCTTGCACAAGATATCTCTGTATATTTGGACGCCCTGACAATACTCCCCCCAACGCTCCCATCATTTGACCTCCTTGGCCGTCTCCTTCGTGATACATCGACTATTCCAGATTATTCAACTGGTGGTAAAACTACGATAGCGGACATCGTACGCTCTGAAGTGCTGGGACGCTTTATTCATGAAAGCATCAAGTGGCTTGATAATGCTGAGAGAGACGAACGCGAGGGGCTCGTCAGTGATGACCGATTTGCGAAGGGAGTTCAAAATGTTGGTTTCACGTTATCTTCGAAGCACATCACCTTACTTTTTTGCAGCTTTGTCGTTTCTATTCCTCTTTGCTCAAGCTCTCGATCGTGGACGCCGCTTCCGATACAGACTCAGCTGAAATGTCGCACTTCACCTTGCGCCACTCACGCTTCGAAGAAGCAAACGCTCTGTATTGTATCCTTGCATCAGGTAGATTTGACCCTTTCTACACCGCTATGATATAGCAATTTTTGTTTTATCCTACGCATGTTTTCATCTCGTTCCATGGTCGCACGTCATTACTTACCATATGCCTTTACAATTAGCTATATGTCCTGCACTCATATGATCCCGGTTCATGCCATGACTCATTTAGCTGTTTGCATAGTGTCGTAATCCAGATGCAGGTATGTTTAGGGAAGATGAAATCCAACGGTTTAAAGCTCAACCTGATCTGAAGATAAAGTACTTCGTGCAAATTGAGCAGTCTTCAAAGCTTCAATACTGCAATGTGCTTTTCATTTAACAGGCGTACGCTTGAAATAAGGATGAAGCTTGTATACTCAGGGTCAATCTGGTGATACTTGTCACAAGATTTAATGTTATATCCCATAATAGCTCGACTATCCAAGTTTATGAGCCAGCTGCGCAAGCCTGCGTAAATCAGTCGAGAACATCGTATGGTACCATGATGTTCTCAAATAGTACCTTGAACTGATCCAGAACTTCGGATATTATCTGCTATCCTAGTACGTTGTGACACATAAGGATGTATTCAAGGATGAGAAAGTTAAAACCGGCGAACCAAGTGAGGGTCAGGTGATAGGGTTGCTTGCGATCGAGCCTGAAGCCAAGGAGAAAATGGGTATGATAGATATTGTAGAGCGCTAGGCTTATTTAGAGAAGCTTGCTTGCGTGGTCATGGGACATTGATTGACCATGTAGAGTATTCAGTTGAGATTTCGACACCTCCGTATATAAGACATTGTTTCATGTTCACCTACTCTCGACACCGAAGATTGCACCGATTAGGGCACATATGCTGGAAAGACCATACGTGGACTCGGTGGTGTCGATCGTATCGTTGAAGTTTGGTGATCAACAAAACCGACTCGGAAATACGTCAAAGTGGGGGCAGCATCTGGCTGAGTGGGTGTAAAGACACCGACTTATGAAGACCGAGATTGAACCTCATGATAATGATTTGGTCTTGCGTCTCACAGGAGGGATGAGAGTAAATGGCCCATCAGCCTTCATCAAAAACTCGTGTTATGAGGAAATGTCAGTAATGATCGTACGGTCGGCAGGGACAAATGCTACGTACGTGCCCCAGGCATCTTCAGAATTAGCGCCCTCCAACCGATTCCAACGTGGACCACTGAGCAGGAAAACATACAAGTGAAATACCCTGCTCGTAGCATTAACAAATGGTGAATGTCGCATGACGCAAGACGCACAACGCCAGCAGCCAGCGAGTTTACAAAGTTTACAACAGGCTTCCATTGCATTTTGGTACGCATCAAAACATTATGAACAGCAAATACCGAGACGAGTGAAAGTGGGGGTAGTATCGGATTATACATAGATCGTGGACGTGGAACAAACAAAAGGAAGGTGGTGCAGAGACAAGCCGACGAATGAAGCTGAGTAAGTCCAAAAACCTTGACGAGACTGGCAGCACGAAAGCTCATGATGATGGTTTGGTCTTGAATCTCAGGAGAGGGGCAAGACCGGATGGCGCACAAGCCTTCTTCAAGAACTCGTGCTGCACAGAAACATAAGGAATGAGACGTGGGAGGGACAACCTTACGTACCTGTAGGAGCTCGCTTGAATTGGCGCGACTTTTGACATCGACACATAAGCACACGCTCAGGAAGCTCTTCAACTCCTTGCTGAGGGCTTCGGGCTTTTTGAGCGTCGGCGTTCCGTTCGTCGCAATCAGGTACAGTGCCTTTAACGGCTCCTCATCAAGATAAGGAGGCTCGTTCTCAATCATCTCAATCGCCATGATGCCGAGTGACCAGATGTCGACTTTGGCACCGTATTCCTTCTGCTTCACGACCTCCGGTGCCATCCAGTATGGAGTACCAACCATTGTCGCACGCTTGGACTTCTGATCAGTGAGTTTAGCACAGAAACCGAAGTCGGCTGTGCAACACATCAGAAACCAGTGCAGGATTGCATAAAAAGATGCGCACTAATTTTAACGCGACCCTGCGCATCGAGGAGGACATTATCGGATTTGATATCACGGTGAATGATAGATTGGCTGTGTAAATGACACAGGCCCTTGCATGTCTAGCAGTGCGTGAGTATCACCCATGAATCATGACAAATCGAAAAGGTACACACTTCCAAACTTATGCTCGAGATCTGATCTTCTTCCAGCGTATTGTTCTCTATGATATCTGTAAGGGCACCGCCCTCCATGTATTCCATGACGACCCAGAGTTCATTGTTCTTCACGAGGTATGACTCGAGGAAGTTGACTATGTTGGGATGTTGGGATTCCTTCATGACGAGGATCTCGTTCACGATCAGTTCCTTGCGTGGTTGGTGTGAGAGGTCCATTTCTTTGATAGCAACCTTCTTGCCTGTGGCAAGCGTTTTTGCGACATACACATGTCCAGATGCGCTGTGGATAGCTTATCAATATTTGCCAGCGGCCAATGCAATGAAAGCCTCACCCCTGTCCGACTTTCTTAATCTTACTATACAAGGTCTTCGGATCATCGTCAGACACAACACTCCGGAGTTTCTCCATGATCTGCGCTTCGGTCATCGCACTAATCCGCTTCTCTTTATCTTTTTCCTTTTCCTTGGTTTTCTTCTGCAGAGCCTCTGCAGCAGCTGCAACACCTGGATCTTCGCCCTCGGGTGCAGTGACAGTAACATCAGGTGTCGGCGGCTCCTTCTTCTTCATCGTCTGCAGAGGTTTTACAGGTGGAGGACCAGCAACAGCTGCTGCGGCGCCTGCCACAGGCTCAGTCGCAGGTTCAGAAGTAGCCGGGGAGGATTTAGAAGGTACCAAGGGAGGTCGTTCGACCGCAGCGGCAGCCTGTTGCTCTTTCAATTGCTGGCGTTCACGTTCACGTTCTTCGCGCCGCTGACGGTCCCTTTCCCGCAACTCCCTGTCCTTCCGCTCCCGTTCTTGTTGTCCAATAGCATCCATACTCTCCTTTCGCTTGGGGCCCTGGTCTAGCGAAGGTTTCCCGGCCACTTGATCACGAGCTTGCGCTCGCGCACGAAGGTCTGCGGTCGAAGGTGTATGATCTGGTACAGGGGGTTTGGGAGCGGCAGGTGCGGGTCGTGTGGCTGCCAATAATGGTCGTGGAGGGGCAGGTCGGGAAGGCTGCAAGGAGGTTGAAGCTTGCAGTATCTGAGGCATTGGGGGTCGCGGAGGTGCAGAGGGCGAGGCGGTGGAAATAGTGTTGGCGTGCTGAGCGTGTGAGCCATTGACGAGCTCAGCAACGCGCGCAGCGGCGAGGGCAGTTGTAGAGAGCCCGTTTGTCCCTGTCTCTGCCGGAGCGGAGTCCTGTCGCTTGCGGGCTGTGTCGAGCGGGGATGTGATCTTTGGAAGATTAGATCCGCCGAGACCTGTGCCGCCGAATCGAGCAGGCGCATCTACACCATATGGCGAAAGGGTGTTGCTGGTTATGGTAGAGCCGACGAGGGTGGAAGCTGCAGATGGCCCGGAGACGGACCGTGATATCGAGTTCATACCCATCTCTTCCAACTCACGCTTCTGGTGATCGGTATAAAATTCGAGGACGTCTAGGACGGCTTGAGGGTCTTTAGCGTAATCTTCACGAGTAATTGCAGACTTTGTAAGAAGCTTGCTCCATTGCTCGGGCATGCCCTGGAACATAGACGTGAGCGAGACAAAAATTTGGGTTTGGTATCCACGCACAGTGAAAGCACCTGATACAGGGTCAAATCCGACATGGACCTTGTGCACAAAGTTGGTCGGGTTGCTGAAGCCCATCAATGGACTGCGAGAGTATACATCATCTTGCCATCCGTAAAGTTCTTCGTCGTTTTTGAGGGCGAGATGATATCGTTTGTCCTTGGTCTCAAGAAGTAGACAATAAGGCTTGAGATCGACACGTTCGATATTCGTGATATCCTTGAGAGGGATAACGCTTTGCTGTGGTGACGTCTACGAGATGATCCGTCAGTATGTATGGCCTACCCAGTAGGATATTAAGAAGAAAACCAATGAAGATATCGTGCATCTAGTAGTACGCTATAGTAGTGCCTCGTTCCTCGAAGCATAAGGCAATCAGCCAATTTGCCATGGACTTACCTCGGTTTTGTGTATGGAAAGCGTTTGTTCCTTCAATACGAGCCATTTTCGGAGAAAGATGAAACTTGCAAACCCCTCTTCCTTCATGCTAACCATCCCAGTTCTTACGACATGGGTGTTGAACGCTGCCTGGGAGTTGCGATTGGGCGATCCGCCTATCCCAGTGTAATCAGTTGAGTATGACGAGCCAGAAGAAAAGGATGTGTTGTAGCCTGAACTTTGGAGAGCACTATGGGGAAATATGGGACCTTCCGTTCCTCTTCGGACAGGTGCTTGGGGTGCAGGTCGAGAAGGCGTCAGATTCGTTGCTGTTACTTGATTGAAGGCCATGGTGGGTGAGAAGAGTGATGGAGTGAGACAAGGAATGGAGTGGGAGTTCCTCGCTAGCGAGAACGGCGAGATTGAGAGCTTTGTGGCCGTTCGTAATGATGGCGGGACTATACACAACGTCGAGCAAGAGTTGGTCTTCTTCTGATTGAACGGAGGCTTTCGAATTCAAGTTGATACCCCCAAAACGGACAACAACAACTGTCCGGATCTGTCCGCCAAGGGGGATATGGCATATCATCACCACGGTAACACCTGGTAGCACTGGTCCTTGAAAAGGTACTAACTACGGTCCTTACATGATTTTGGTTCTAAGATTCACATCACATCTACAATCCTGTTTTCTGAGGCAGTTCGATATCTATTAAGAGACCGCCTATAATTGACTCTCGAGCCGAAGGTGTTCAAATAAGATGAACTCGACGTGACCAGCTACTTGTTCTTTGTCATCCTGTAGGATTGTTAGTAAATGAAAATTGTCTAGTCTGAAACTCACTTGTAAGTAAAGCGCTTTTTGGTGTGCGCGAATTCACCGAGCTTATGGCCGACCATATCCTGCGTGATCATCACAGGAGCATAGTCTTTACCATTGTGCACCATGAAACGGATACTGACATATCTAAATTAGAATAAGCACAGACGAAGCTTGAGAGTCTCACCCAACAAAATTTGGGAGGATAGTGCAAGCACGAGCCTGCGTTCTTATAGCAACATTGTTAATTAGTGCCTCCTTCAGGTTTGGAAAGGCTACGAAATATGGGCCTGGACAATATCACGCGTGAATATGAGATCGACCGCGCAGTGAATACAAGACAGACCTTTCCAAGCAGACCGCCCAGACCGTAGAATGAGCGAAGGCTGCATGACCAGCAGAACAGAAGAATTCAAAATCAAAACAGTCTGCTTATGTAATGCCTTTGCAATAATTGAACATGGCGCTAATCAAGTCTACTTGCTCAGTCGACCGTGACTGCATCCTTTGAAAATATGCTCTCATCTGCCCTACACAATCGTATGGAATAACTCTTTCTTGCGCACCATCTTCAATCGTTTGATTACATTGTGAAATACATTTCATTCTCTTTGTGTGCCAACTGAGTGTACGATACGAGTCCAGGAGTAGCAATCACTCCGAGGCGCACACGTCCCCTTCAACCTTACTGGGCCACTTTCGCTGAAGATCGTTCATGACATCATCTACTTCTTTTGCACACAGGCAGATTCTTCCGCTAAACCTGGTTGGTGATATCTGGCTCGATTCCCAGCGCTTGTTGCAATCATGTATACCAGTGTCTATCGTGTCGAACATTGGAAATACATCCGCAGCACGATCTGGACTCTCAGCCGAACTCCATTCAGTCTCCATATCCTTACTCTCCATCTTCCCCTCCCACTCATTTCGTCCACCACTCAGCCCATCCTCGAACCTCATTATTTTGCTCCATCGCACCATCATGACTGGTAACTCAGAAAGCCGATATATCAGACTTGAAGGCCAGTCCTCCATATTACCTTCGTATTTGTTTCATGATTCTCAACACTCTGACTACAGTCATCAACGGAAAGAATCTTCGGGTCGCTTCCGGGCGCATTCCCGCTGGTATCTACATATTCATCAATGTCGACTTGAAGAGATGCTGGAAATCAAGCATCAGTGTCTTATCATCTGATGAATCTGTAGCGTGGGGAAATACTGTAACTCTGTAAAATCCATGGAGACTTTCTGACGCGATGCGAGAACTGACCTTGGGTTTATAGATCATCACATGCCTCACCTACGTTGTCATTGGAGATCAGGGCGGCCTTTGAGCTTGGTCGAATGCTAGGCGGTGGAGAAGTCTTCGGGAAACTTGAAATGTCGTGGGATGAGCTACTCGATCATGGAGATGAGCCATTCGGTGAGTAACTTACTTCTCATCTATGCATATACTGATATCTCGTAGATCTATCCTTCCCACCCGTCTGCAATGTCCACCCTTCCCTCACGTTGAAGGCCGCTGTTGTACAGGCTTGCGAAGATGACGACTGCATTCTGGTTGATGTGAGTGCACTAGTTTCTGTCCTGTTAGCTTTTGCTGACAGAATGCCAACTGTAGTCCCTCGTAGACCGCGATATTGTTCGAGACACAGATGCGGGCCACGCACAATTTTACGCATATGTGACAAGCGAGAATGTCTCTCACCTGCACGATGCTGTAGAGCATTTTCAGTTGGTTCTGGACCAGTGTCCGGTCAGCCATCCAGACCACGCAACAGCTCTCACCAACCTCGCGTGGGCCCGCCTCAAGGGCTACATCCGAAATGATCTCCAAGACATCGATGCCACTATTTCCCTCTTCCGCGACGCCCTTGCATTGCGTCCGCAGCGCCACCCCGATCATCACTTATCTCTATTCAATCTCGCTGAATGGCTGACTTGGCGCCACGACAAGAACGATACTGCTACCGACATCCGCGAAGCCGCCCAACTCTATCATGAGCTACTGCCTCTCTGTCCAGAAGGCACCTACCTTCGTAGTATTGCAGGAGGGCCAGATGGTGTCGAATATGTAATCGACGAATGCAATGATCTTCCGGTAGACGCATCCGATGAAGGTATCCAGCTTCGAAGAGTTGTCCTTGAGTTCTGTCCTCTGGGCCATCAACTTCGTCTCAGAGCCCTTGACGAGCTTGCGCGAGCAGTTGAGGCACGTTTTGATCAACACGGTAGCATCGATGATCTTGACATGAGCATACAACTTGGTCGTGAAGCCGTATCTTTATGCCCCGAGGGACATGATGACCACGGTTACTACCTGAACAGCTTGGCTATCTCACTCGTGTCCCACTTCCATCATCAAGGCAGCCCTAATGACCTTGATGATGCCATCTCTTTGTATGAAGAAGTGTTACGCCTACGCCCTGTTGGGTACGAATATCGTGATATCTCATTGGACAACCTAGGACTCGCCCTCGTTGCCCGTTTCAACAAACGCGACGACATTGATGACGTTACCCGAGCTGTCAGCCTCTATCGGGAGGCACTGACGTTGCGCCCACCTGGGCATCCACATCGTGACACCACGCTTAACAACCTTGCCCTCGCGCTCGACACATGATACGACAAATTGGATATCAGCGAGGACCTTAACGAGGCCATTGATTGGTATCGCGAATCCCTTCGGTTAGTGCGGCCTGACGATCTAGAGCGCCACGTAACTCTACACAATTTGAGCTCGGCGCTCTGCTCTCGTTTCACACAAACTGAGGAGAATGAAGACATCGAGGAGGCTATCACTCTTGGTCAAGAATCATTGGCAGCTCTGTCTTCACTGCACCCGGACAGGTTTTTCAGCTACATGCGACTGGAGGAGGCTCATTTGTCTCGTTATGAGATTCTACACGACCCTGGTGATTTGTCGCTCGCTATGGAGAACTTCAGACTTGCATCAAGACATTCTACTCAAGGATTTCCTCGGCGTATCATAGAGGCTGTTGACTGGGCTCGCGAAGCAGAGGTTCATCAACATGAATCTGCCCTAGAAGCATACCAAACGTGCTTTGAGCTTTTCGACAGCCATGTGATGACGCGATCGTCCATCATCTCACGGCGCGAGGCTGCAACCGCTTTCAGTGATGCACGATCACTTCCTGTAGATGCAGCCTCATGTGCCATACGTCGTGACAATCTACGACGGGCAGTCGAGCTCGTGGAGCAGGGCCGTGGCCAGCAGTGGTCACTGGCATCGCGACTCAGGACACCACTCGAAGACCTCGAGTCTATCAGTCCCGAACTGGCTCGCAAGTTCTCACAGCTTAGCAAACATCTATCGATGCTCAGGGTTCCGCGGTTGGTACTGACAGAGCTACTTCTGATCGGGCAGTAACAGACTATAGGAGACTTACAAGGCAATGGGAAGCTGTGGTAGTTGAGATACGTGATCTTCAGGAGTACTCGCGGTTCCTGCTTCCACCTTCGTATGAAGACCTACAAGCGGCAGCTCGGCAGGGCCCGGTCATCATCCTGATTGCCAGTCAATACTTATGCAGCGCCGTCATCGTGCCGACATCAGGGGACCCCCGTCATGTTCCCTTGCTGTCTGTCACTCTCACAGAGCTGACTAATCTCAAGGATAGCTTCGCCAGGGCAATACGACACGCATGTATCATGGACCCAAAATTGCCGCGGAACGATTTAATAGTCCTCTTGCGGACAGTATGGGACGAAATAATACTACCCATCGTCAACGTCCTCCAGCATGATCTGAAACTAAAATTCCACTCTCGAATCTGGCTGTGTCCAACTGCAGCTTTCACATCTATTCCTCTCCACGCAGCTCACCCGTTTCGAACGAACGCAGATCGCTCTAAGGAGCCATGCCTGGAGGATCTCTACATCTGCTCCTACACGCCGACACTCTAGGCTCTGGTCAGGTCTAGACAAATGATGAAAAAGCGCGTCACTCCATCCTTCGCAACAATCGGACAAGGGCAGCCGGGTGCAGGGAAAGGCAAGGCACTCTTGGCTATCGATAGCGAGCCCTGATTTTCCTTTACTTCCTGACAGGTCTGCAGTTCGGAGTTCAGCCTTCTAGTGCATCCAGTGGGCCCAATTCCGAGGCCAATATAGCCGTCCATCCCTCATCTCAAGGACTGTAATTCTACAATGGCAACAAAAGTTCATACACACTTGTTCCTGACGGGCAGGTTTAAATCTGTCCCGACTCATTCACGGCCATGACGTAAACGATTCCTATAGGACCATTATTTCCTGAAACACTGAAGATATAAGGGTGATGACCAACTGGATGGGCCAGTAAATTGTGCTCTTTTCGTTTTCTCAGCTCCATCCAGTGTCACACCGTGGATGCATTTGCACTGTCCGTTTTACCCATTCGACAAACATCGCAACCCTCGTCCTCTAGAGACTTAAACTAACTGTATTGTTGTAGCAAAACCAAATATGTGGATTGCGATGGCACGTTATATGCGAAGCTGAAGATGACATCAAACCTCATTAACCAGTGTCGGTGGGTTAGCAGTGATGCATTGACTAACATCGAGAATGATATGAGGATGACAACCTTTGCTCCCCGAATCAGTCCTATCCCAAGGAACGCTAGTACTACGGTGCATTTGATGACAATGCAACAATCTGAACGCAGCGTTGGAGGACTACTTTGTGGGCAAGGTTTTCGGGGATGGACGATGGGAAACGAACGAGATGTGTGTGCCTTCTAGATCTTTTACTACTTTTATCCTGACGTGTGTCACTACTGGCATGTCACTTGTGATCTGGTGTCGGCTTTTACATCACAGCGAGAACCTTGACTTGCCGCAGGCATTTTCCTGTCGCATGCCAAGAATTGCTGGTCAGAGATTTAGGACAGAACTAAGTCTGTCACGCTTTCTCGAGCTCGTCTGCGTTTTCGTGAAGTGGAAAGAGTCTTTAGTGCAGTTACGACCTATTGGCGGTGGTTTTTACTCGCCTTCGTGTGCGACGTTTGTCGGGTCTCCAAATGAGGACGAATTTACTAGTTCTAAGGTGATTCGTGACTCATGTACAGTAAACTTCATTTCGCTAATTCATTACGGGCATATGGCCCGTTCTACCCACGTAGTTGCCGATTAGCCACTAGTGATTAAAAGATGGATGGTGCACTGTGCTCCTATCTTATTGTACGTCATATCAGCTATCGCACTAATTCCCTCTATTGTTTCCAAAGTGACCACCAACCCCGTGACAACGTCTCTTTTAAAGGACGAGACTGACTACATATATGTACCCGAGGATTGCTTTTCTTCCTACACTGACTTCATTCAGGACATTGGAGGGAGCTCGATTTACTAAATGACTATCGGGATAGCATGCGTTCCGGTGATTGAAGGATCTAAACAATTCACGTGGGCCTAAATCAAGTAGACTCTCATATCGTGCACGCGAAGGCAAACGTCTGAGGTAACGGCTCGTATCAGTAGTAGCTTGAATACATCGAGTGATCTTGTAAGTGTGTGGGACCATAGCAAAAGGCATTGGCCAAAGCAATCAAAGAATTCAGTATACAATGGTAGGTAGTATCATAACATAATCAATGAGGGAACAAATAGCAGAAAGATACATGTCGCTGGACAATGACGAAACTGCGTGCGCACTTGCTATTCCAACAGTGATTGCACCCACCTATTTGGCCACGAAACAATTAGTGTCTGCACTCCAAAGTCTAGATAACCAGAGACAAAAGAACCAGCATACCACGGGTTGCTTCTGATCCTCATTTCTCTCAGAACCAATCCCGATTCATACTAGTCGTTTTATTGTCAACCGTTTTGCCAACGAACTTCGCCGACTACTCGTCGATTCCAAGGAAACCCGGAGCTACCGAACAATAAGAATAGAAAATACCCTGCATGAGATAAATAGTAAATCAACTTTGATTGGCTGAAAACTTTGTAGCTTACATAATCGGGTGCTAGTCTTTTGTCTTCCCGGGTTGACATGGTGCAAAGTTGCAGACCAACGATTGACCAACGAGGCGCATTAATATGGCTTACTCTGCTCACGGCACCTGGGCCAATCGTGTTTCATAGACAATAGTGCGTTTCTTTCACCGGTTTCATATCCGCGGGTAAATCCATGTTTGGCGACGAACATGGCATACCGCGCTAATTGTTAGCATTCTGGTTCCTTCGAATTCACCGGTGGCGATGCCTGGTCGAAGCGGATAAATATATGAGAGTTAAGAGGAGGACTCCCCACCAATACTTGCGACTCCCCTTTAACAATATCAGGGCTTCCTGAGCTCTACTGTACTACAAACTCTACAACTTCGACTTATCTCCTGAGTCTTCCTGTATTAAGCCATGGATTCGTTCTTCACACTTTCTGCCTTCTCCTCAGCGCCTGTCTCTTCTGAAGAGACACAAGCGCAAGTACCAGTTGACCAGGAGCACTACGGCAATGCCAACTGCTACTGCGTCATCGCATGATCAGCATCACACCGGTATGTTTCTTTTCTCTCTTCCTTGCTGCCCACGACTGAGTCTGTATCTCTTTGACCACTACAGCTCATCTCTCGCAACCGCGTCATTATCACTGTACATTATCACTCTCATTGTACGGTTCATTTAACCGGTCTTCGTTCGCAAAATTCGCCACATTCTGTCACAGTTGACGGATATTATGTATTTTTTTATCTATCGTTTTGGTAGACAGTGGTACTTACATCCGGTATGCCAAGGCTGCTAGGGATCACAACACTGGATTTGCATATCTTCGACTCAGCTACACCTTCGTTAACTTTCTGTTGTACATATTCGAGCCCTCATTTTTTGCTGTAACTCCCTCTGAATATTACATGTATACCATGTGCATCTTGATACGTGACTTGCAAATATAAGCGTGCAGGCAGTGAATCACAATGAATATATTTTGACACCGATGCATTTCTCGAGTTCATTGATACCATCCATCCAGCACTTACTGGCAGCAGCTGAGACATCAGCGCTGATAATAATTTTACACGGTGATACAAGGTCGACTCACTGTGCGGCACCATTACAGACCGCGTGCATCAAGAGATTCAAAACAATAACTTCAAGCCAGTAACAAGATATCACAATGGTGAGGGCGAGAGAAGGAGATGGACCAAGAAATCGAATACGACATGAATGTGTTGCAAAATCTTACTCAGCTCTGCTCACTCCCGAAATTGCTGGTGGAATACCGGAATCTTCGTCTCGTCCATTTACAAAGACACCTTGCGTCCTCTCTCCTTCGGAGCTCGATCCAGTACCAACCGGCGCCTCAATAGCCTCTTGGCTTCCTTGATGTCTCAGTAGCGCTGCGGGGGTAAGCAGAAACACGAACATAGCAACACACTCTTGATGAGTGGCGTATGCGCGATACCTCGCCTTCAAAACCACCTCGGTATGCCGCGCCGAAAAGAAGACGACGGACAAAGTGATACTAAGTATGACCTTAGAACTTAAATGAGGGGTATGAGCGAAGTCGGTGGGAGGTTGAACTTAGGCGAGAGGAGAGGAAATTTGACTACGTTTCCATCTGTTATAGCCCGACCTGCAAAAGGTCAGCATCATGCGAATATGACAGCGAAATCTCACCAATTGCAACAGAATGATCATGTCATCTGGGGGTCATTGAGCTCACACGATGATGACCTTCAGTAAATGCGGTGCTTACCACCAGGATGCCATGAGCACGGCGTGTGGACTGTGTGTCTCTATTGATGAGGTGGCAGGAACTGTGTCGGGTGCGTGAGGAGAGTGCCAAGGCGTCGCATGCGACGGTGGCCCCGGCCAATCTGGGAGGGACGCACAACATGCCATGAAGGGTATAAAACCCATCGTGATAAACCACCAAGAAAGTGGTGTCATACGTCACCACCAACTAGGCTATCTAATGTGTCGTGCCCATATGATAAGTTATGAGCAGAAACAGTTTCAATGGCCAGACGTGAATCCGAGTCGTCTGTGAGCATTGTACACGCCAGGTGTCCATGAAGAAGAGAAATATATATGTTGCCACTAATACTGCAGTATAAGTTGTTGAACTTTGTTTGGCCCGTTGCTCGTGTGGCGCAACGGTTAACGTTGATATGTAATCAGTAGCCTAATCGATACTGCAAGGCACTGGGTGACTATCCGTAGGCAAAATAATGCGGAATAGATTATGACGGACTTTGAAAGACATTTGCAAAAGATAATCTGTACAGAAAACACAACCGTAACGCATCTGGAATAAAATAATTTGGTCAAAACTGCAATGGACGATCTACTACTAGTACAGTACCACAATCTGGTGAATGACAGAGAAGAGACAGCATTTCTTGACGACGAAGAAGACACGAGGATGTTAGCAGCTACACTCGTTGCTGGAATAGAGCTAGCTCGACTTGATCGTGTTGAAACCCGGAACCCTAAGCGGCTGTACCTTTGTCGTGCCCAGCGGTGGTCGCAGGAATACGTTAGTACACACATGAAATCAAGTCTTTAATGAAAAAGAAACAGTCGCAGTAGCTTGGGGAACGAGTTGTTTTCGCAATTCTAGACTTATAGGGAGAGAATGTTGTCAGCACTGCTCACCTTGTACCCTGGCCAGTCGCAGTGGTACATGTTGGTGTTGTCTGCTGATAGCAATCTTAAAATTTCAGCTAAAAACTTCGCCAGGGAGCTCAGGGATGGGACTCCGTATATTGGAAAATGTTTGGACCAGGTGGTGACCATCGCCATGCTGAACATGTGTCAGGCAGACCTCAAGTCATGGATTAGTCAGCAGATAGCTTAGGCGTAGTGGCCCAAAATGGATTTAATCCGTCGTTTATAATCCAGAATAATCTGTAAGGGGGTCAAAAAATAATGTTTTGCAAATTTGATGCAAATGAACAGCGGCATTGCGGCACAACTTCCTTAAATGGTCTTTTTTATTCTATCTTATTTTATTCCGCATTATTTCAGCCTACGGATAGTCACCCACTATCTGGCCAAAACTTCTTGGGTGTCAACGTGGTGACCATACCAGGTATTTAGGCGATAATCTGCAGTCTTCATTCCGACGATTGCACTTACCACCCTCATCAAGCCTGAGGATTCACTCGCAACTTGTCATATGCCTAACTGGAAGTTTCATTGACTAGAGTAACTAGAGCATAGCTGGTAGCAA